TTAACAAGCTGAATCTATAATGTTAAATGGTAATTAAGATGATTGTCAACTTTAAATTGTTCAAGTTGAAAAGCAACAATTAACTGGAAAGATAAACTTTTAAAGGAGATGAGAGGGAAAAAAAAGTTTCAATTGACAACATTTAATTAACTAATCACAATCAATAAGCAATGATACACAACATCAACTTAATTATTAATTGATTATTGTACTAGGTTAACAATCAATTTAATCATTAACCATAAATTGATTGAATATTGAAATTTAGTGCAACTTTTCAACCAAGATGATGTTTAATTGTTGTCAAAATGAATTGGTCCGGATGTTGTTGATTGCTGTTAACAATTAACATGATATCGAGATGATATAGAAAGTGGTAGACGACAATTAATTTAATTGTAAACCCTTTTAAAGTAATCAAATTGATACCAACACCTTAGTAATCATAATGATTATCATCACAAGTTTTGATTGCTACTTTGATTATGATGAAAAATAAACTCAGGTAAATATAATAACATATAAAAGATGAGGATGATTAAGATGATGAGGATGATAACAAAGATGATAAAATGATGATAATGAGTAAGATGATTAAATAAATTAAATGGTTTAAGGTCATTTGCAACCTACATCATTTTGTTTTTCATCCTCATCATCAACTTTAATCATCAAGTGAATTAAAAAAAAACTTTGATTTCAAATGAGATTGACTGACAATTAATATCAAGACAATGATCAGTTAATTGTTTTCACAATGATTATTAATTGTGTTTACCTTTAATTGGACTATTAAATGCTCCTTGGTAAAGCCAATATGAACTGAGTCCATTGTAGGGTGATGAATAATTTGTTGATTGTTGATCATCTTGTTGCTGGTGTTGATGGTGATTAATTGCCGAGGGGGAGTTGGAGTTTATTGTTGATTGAGTCTCATTGTAATCAATTAACTGATTTGATTCAATTAACGATGATCCTGTTGTAATCACGGAGGCTGAAAGTGTCGGCGATATTGATGCAACGGCCATTGAGGGCCAATCGAAGCACCTTTTGCCCATGTTACTTTGATTGTCAGCAATTAAATTAACTGATTGATTGTCACCTAATCTTTGTTGGTTATTGTCTTGATTAATGGCACTATTTGATTCACTGTTGTTTTCAGTTAATTCTGATTGTTGGTCACTATTAACGAAACTAATGATCGGACAATTAGTTTTATCATCAACAATTAATAAATTACTTTCCCTATTACATTGATCTGTTGGTCTATTGCCTTGCATTAATTTTAATTAGTTAAATTAGTTTACTTTGTCTCACAGAAATTAATTAATTACAAGTTAAACTAAATCAGTTGATTGGTGAAATTGATTGAAAACAATAACAATTAGATGACAAGAAAAATGTTGATACTTTTACAATGGTAACAATTAAAAACCTTTAATAGATTTTGAGTTAACAATTTAAATATGACCAATTGAAACAATCAAAGATCACATAACATTATTGTTGTAATTGATTTCAAATTGTGTGAAAATTAACTGATTAACAATCATAATCAACACGAAGAAATCACCTTTAATCACAATTTAGTTGATAAACACAATATTCCGAGTGTGAAGATTGGTTGATAATGGTGATTAGTTAATCACAATTATATCAAAATGAAAGTCACACAGTAAAATAATCAAATTGTAACAATTAGATTAGTAACATTGTAGTTTGATGAAAAAACTTTTTCGTGTATCAAAAAGCGTCAATACAATTTGAAGATAATCTTGAAGATGAAGATTAAGATAATCTGATTAGTCTGGGGAGTTAATTGGATTCGATTAACCGGTAACCCATTAAATTTAATTGCGATTGAATTGAATTAAATTCCGATGAAAACTCTATGGGTAAAATAGTGAGAGTAAATTGACACTGAGTTGAACAGATGATTCGATTTTCAATGAATGAAAAAAAGAGAGATGAAGAGAGAGAGAGAGAGAGAGATAGAGGGATGATAATGATAAAGATGAGGATGATGATGATAAGAATGAAAGAGAAAAAGAAAGAGAGAGTATCAACAGGTAAGAAAGAGTAGGATGAAAGGAGTTAGCGGTTCGCAAACCGCGTGGGTGAACTTAAGGATCTTCTCTCTCTTTCTCCATTCTCTTTCTATTCTACTATCTCTTCTCATTTTTCATCTTCATCTTCATCTTCATCTTCATCCTCATCATCTTGTTACCACCTCCCAGTTCCATCCCAGTTTATCACTCATCTTCATCTTCATCATGAGAATCTTCAATTTCTTATTCATCAATTTCCCCTTGAACCCTTTTCCATAAAATCATCTATACATTTAGTTAGATTTTAATTCACTGGGTGACAATTAACTAATTTCCCCATCAGCTGACCAACTTTAACTGTCTTCTCATGGAAACAATTAAGATTCTGATCAATTGAATCTCCATTCTCTTGAATAAGTTGATCTGTTAATCGTTTCAAACAATAAGATTGACAATTGAATCTAATCTGTGTAATTCTAATTCTAATTCTGATTATGTTGATGGTTAACAATTAAGCAAATCAACTCGGTTATATTAATTAATTGTTATCAGGTTAATCACTTTGATTGATATCAAAAAACACAAACAGTATTTAGATAATTTGATTGAATAAGTTACTCGATATTTGGTTACGAGTCAATCGGAAATCGTCCTGAGCAATTGTAGCATTTAAATGTCAGTTTATTTAAAGGATAATTGATTATTGATGTTTAGTTGTTATTATTAATATTTGACAATTTAAATTATTAGAATCATTAATCCTTCATGTTAGGATTTGATTGTGAATGAAAAATGTCAACCTGATTATAATCCAAGAGATTTGATAAAAAGAAACTTAATTAAAAAAAAGTTTGCCCTTTGTATTAACAAGATTTAATGATAGTTGTTAGTTTTTAATTGTTGTTTTTGTTGTTAACAATTAACATTCAAGTTGTAACAACATTGTATCATTAATGTTTTCTGATCACTTTATTAGATATCATCACCACCTACACACATGATAATCAAGAGACAATCAAGTTAATCAACGCGAATGTTAATGATTTTCAGATAATTTAGTTACCTTTTTATTATTACCTGTCCAAGTTGATTGGTCAATCGTCCTGAAGGTCAAGGTTAACCATCAAGTACATTAAATAATTTAACGTTGGTCTATCAATTTAAATTCAGTCTAATTAAAGGTCAAGACTGGACCGTTAATTTGATATCATCATAACTGTTAATCTCTTTGTATTAATATTAATAATATCAGAAAATCTCACGATTAGGATAAAGATAATCAATTAATTCTGTTAATTATTGATAACTTTTCAAACAATCATCATGACTCACCTTTAAATCAACATGGATTAGTATTGTTCTGGTCAATTGTACTTAATTTTTATTCAACTGTTGATCGGTTAAATCGAGTGACCATCAATCAGAAAATGAAGTTTTTTATATTGAGAGGAAAAACTTATCGTTGAGATTAACTCAGAAATCCAAGGTGATCACATAGTCACCATGAAGTTTTGACGATAATTTCATCAGCTGTTTTCTATAAAATGATCTTTAATTATCATCCTCATCTTATCATCATATTGATATTAATCGTTTTAAACGTGATTAAATTTGATCATATAAACAGAGCAGTTTAATCATAATTCTGATCCTAATCTAAGTATAAATGATAAACATGATTGCTCAATAAAATGTATAATTTCATGATCGGCAACTGACCAAACAATTGATAAACATACAGATTGATTTACTAAATATAATCTTTGCCCTTATATTAAATCATTGATTGTATTGAATATTTTTCTTATTCAATTGATAATCAACTTCAAATTCAAGTTGATTATACTTGAAATTATTTCATAATTTAATCTCTGTATTGGATTGGTTGATAGTTCATTCAATTGGTCAGTTAACTGTAGGGTGCAATTGCGTAACATTACTAGGAAATAAACAGTAATTAAGATGGACAATTATATAATTGTTAAATCTTCATTTGGATCAGATTAATGTTATGATCGGTCAAGAGAGTAAATTAGAAAAGTTCAATTGGTTCATTTAAGAGTCTTAAGAAAATGACAATTAGCGCATCTCATCAACTCAACAAACTATCGATTTTCAGAAATTAGTTAATTGTTGACTCTAGAAAATTTAAGTATTATATTAGTTATGGGAATTAATTGCAAAGAATCTAAAAAAAAATCGATGCTAATCTTTGTTTTGAATTGTTGATGTTTCCATGGTAATGATGATGTTCAATGTTGATAATTAGAATTGATTGAGAATATTTGATTATTTGGAATGGTTATTGTGGTAAACAATTAAATATAAATACTAATTATAGTAAATGGTGATAACGATGGTTAATTGTGGTAAAATATCAAATGTGTCTCTTCAATTGTTGGAATATCTTTTCTTAATCATTGACCTAATGTGCAACATTTTTGATGATCACTTGGGTTACAAATTGACTGTCCGATTATCAGTTTACATTGGTCAAGATTTGTGTCAGATTTTGGCGCTTATACTTTTGTGTCTTCTGTTTTTCCAATCGTCCATTTTGTCCGCAGGGCTTTTCGGTTCCATATTCCAATCAAATTGTTATGGATTAATTATTGCGATCGTCTATTTGTTTGTAACGGTCATGCTACAGTTCCAAATAATTTTGACCTATTGGGATAAACCTTTAGATGAAAAAGTTTCGCTGGACACTAAAGAGTGGACAAAGTGTAGATTCACTTTCATCTGGTTCATTGGTCAACGTTTTTTGGCGACAATTTATTATATTTCCTATCAAAGGGTTTCATCATTTCTCCACCATCCTAATCTAGTTAATCGTCTTTCTTTGGCCAATCCATTAAATCAATTTACTAAATATTGATTGAGCAATTAAATCAATTTGAAATCAGTTCTTGGACTTTTTTTTCAATATAATGATTATATTTATAGCAATGGTGATAATATAACAATAATATAATAATAATAATAATAATAAGTGATTGTGATGATAATAAGTGTGTATTAGAGAGAGAGATAGAGAGATATGATTAAATGTAATCTACAGATTTGTTCAATATAATATTAGATTTAAATTTTGCTTTCTTATTACCTTGAATAACTTTTCTCAATTTATGATTAATTGTTTCAGATGTTGATTACGAAGCAAAAGCAAATAATCACTTCTCAAGAAGTATTAATTCCTCTGATGGATTAAAAATCGTTTTTCTTTTCATTAAGAAATGGAATTGATTGGTTTCTTTTGAGTTGAGCAATTGGATTTAAAAAAATCAACTCGCGAAGTGGATTAAATCATTGTTTTAATAACTGGCTTCGTGGCCCGCTAATATGTACAAGTTTGACGGAGCATTAGGTTGATCTGATGGCGATCGACTCTCTAAAGCGATGACCCTGTACAAAGAAAGTAACAACAATAATTAATAAATTGTACAAACGCAGAGAAGGATTTCGATTGTTATGATTAATTTTCTTGATCGAAATAAAATTCAAAAGAAGCCAAGAAAATTAATCGCAACTCGATAAAAGTGTTAAAATTAACTTTAATTTTTCTGGTTGACTAAAACAAATCTGTCAACTTGATTTGTGAACAAGTTTAAATTGCCAATCATTTAAAGCTAATTTATCACTTATTTGTCTGCAGGAAGATTGATTAACTAAATTACCTATCTGCTCCTAGCAATCGGAAACATCTTGATTCGTCGTTAATTTCTTGAACGATTTCAGCATTTTTGAAGCTTCGTCCTTGCATCCCGTGCTTATGGAAGGCTAAAACACAGTCAGTTAGACTAACTGTGAAAAATGAGGAAGAAAGAATCGTTAATAATCAAATTAAAAGATAATTATCACGTAGAAATGCATGTGATTTGTAAAACTCAACACACAATTAATATTAATCACTTATCATGAAGTTACAATAGTAAATTCATGAACATAAACAAAATATCATCAGCTGATCTTTATAAATTCACATAACATTTTTAACTGATACATGGTATTCCCTTAAATCCCTTTTGGCACCAAGTTAATTATCTTCAACTGAGCTATTAATAAATTGGCTTAGATGAAATCAATATGCGCACAAGATTTAAGGGTTAATCATGTTCATTTACCTATGGACTCAATTTTAAAGTCAAATTGTAACTCGGCTGGTTGTTTACGATTGCATTTCAGTTTACCATCTAAATTAACAAGTTTAACATTATCTGTAGGAAAGAAAGGAAAAACAGATGATCAATTAACTGTTGATATCAAAGGATAAACACAAATGGAAACTTACTGTCATGACATACTAAAATAGTCTCTTTATCTAATTGAGTAACATTTACAATATTTAACTGATCATATTTATGAATGATAGTCTCTGTCCCGTCGTTGAAATCATCATTAAACCAACTAGCTGATGAATTAAGATTTACAATTTCCAGTCTCAGGTAATTATCATCATAACCACGTTTAACACCAACACAGAGCATCGGGTATTCGAGGTCAGGAGTTATCATCATCTCAAAGACATCTAATTTAGATGGAAGATAAAATTCAAATTGCTATGGGAGAATAAATAAAATGAATTAGATGTTTGGAATTCAAGAGAAGATACAAAAAGATACATTGATAAACAGAGAGAAAGCGGAAATGTTTACATTAAAATCTAATTGAGGCAACAGAGAGCAATGAACTAGGATGATAACACTAACCTTCAAAAACATAAACTTATTTAAAGGATTGTACCATTGCATCAGGAATATACCGTTGGGATTCACACCACAGAGATATTTGTACCCATTGTAAGGATTTCGGGCAACACAACATTTGGTACATCCTCTGGTGTCAGAGATTTTTGAAGTAGCGGTCAATTTCCATGGGACGAACCGTTCTGGAATCTTATTGATCATGGAATCCATGGGTAAAGAGAATCGATGACTATTTTTACTATGTAATGCGACTAAATCGTGACGATAAAGATGTGAGGTTTTACCAGAAAGAGACATTAAGACATCTTTAATCACAAACATCCAAGTTGTCCTTCTTGGATAAAGTTGATCAATACAAGCGTCATGAAGTTGATTCAAATTAAGAGTGTAAATGCCTTCTTCACAACCGAGGAGAATGTGTTGATCACGAGTTTCAGGATGAATCCAACTTGCTGAGCAGTGGATCATCAAGGGGCATTCGTTAAATACTTTGGAGAAACAGGCTCCCATGTGAACCTTGGGAGTCGGTGGAAGACCATTGATTGTTTGTCTTGGTGAAGGTTGGGCTTGTTGTTGAGATGATTGTTGAGATGAGTTCAACTTAGTTAATAATCTTTTATCCTTTCGACGAGGAGGTGCTGAAGGTGGTTGATTAGCTGAGGCCAATTCGCTTGAACTGCTGATACTTTGCCTTTTGCTTTCAGAATGATTTCCATTGGATAATCTGGTTGAAATGGTTGGTTGATGGTCATCACTCCGCGAATTTGATCCATTGGCGGTGGATGGCGTTGAAGAAGAAGGATTGACAAATGAATTTAAAGATGATGGTGAATCGGGTGGTGAACCGTTCAAAGTCTTAGGTGTTGATGGTGGAGTTGAAAATTCCTCAAAGTCAGTGTTATTAGTATTGTCAGCTCGCTCAGAACATATCTCGTCCAATAAGTTTTCCTAATGTTTGATTAACCAGAATCACCACAAGAATACAGGATGTCGTGGGAGGTAAAAAACAAGATAAATGGGAAGAATTACCAGTTTTCATGAATAAAATTGATAAAGAGAGAGAGAAAAAAGAAAAAGAAACAAACAGAATTACTAAAAAGAACGAGAAGAAAATCGGGTGGTTGAGTAGGTAAATTGTTTGTTTTTCTTCTAAATTATCAAGGTGATGAAATGCAACGCAAAATCATCATAAAGGGTAGTGTGTTGGAATCGAATAAGGTGTAAATTATATTGAAGGAGGAAACGAAAGAAGGAAATAATTAAATTCAAGTAGAGAGACAAAAGAAAAAAAGATTGAAATTGAAACAAGAACAACGTAAATTGGGTAATAATAATTGTTGTTGGTTACTGATTAACATGAAACATGCAATTGAGCTAATAAGATTAAAGAAATGAGTCATTCCAGGTTGATAATAATGATGCTTATAGTTGGATAAGAGAGTCAAACAAAAGTAACGGTTTTCCATCAATTGATGTGCAAGATTAACGTGCAATACTATCAGTAGACTTTCAAATCTTACAAGAGTATCATTATTCCAACGGATAAGAGCATCTTTATCAAATCTTGGGGTCTCGTAATTGGAGATGAATTGAGATACGTAATTGTTGTTGCTCGAGGTGTTGGTGGTGGTAAAATCTGTACGAAGGCTACCAAGCACAAAGGTGGATGAACCATATCCTTCGGTATCAAGTAGACCTTCATTGGTTTCTTTTCCTCTCCTCCCAAACAGGACAGAATGATTTGATCTGTCCGATCCCGGGTGTGATAACTAAACAAGTTAAAACACCATGGAGAGGGTAACATGACAATAATAGTAACGGTAGAGTCATTTTGTTGTTGTTTTCAAACAAACAATCAATTTTGATAAATGAAAGGATTGAATAGTAAATAAATAAATGGAAACCACAATTCTGATTTTCATCAATATGATATTATCTCTCAATCAATCAATCAAAATAGACAAACAGATATACACACATTTACGAAGAGATCAGAAATTATGAATCAACAAAAATGGAGAAAAAAACAAAAAGGTTATTAAAAATTTGACCTACTTGATTTGATGAGGTTCGTTGCAAGGATTCAACCGGAAGTGTTGATCTGAAAAAAATGAAATCGGGAAAGAGAAGGGAAAGAAAAGAGAGAGAGAGAAGGTAGAAAACAGAAAATAATTGACAGGAAGGAGGTGGTGGTAGAGAATAAGAAAAAGAGAATTAAATTGATTGTAGTGAATAAAATGAATGAATAATTTGCCAGAATAGAAAAGAAAAACTTACTGTGTAGAATAAAGAGCCGTTAGACTGGTTTTAACTCCTCTGTTTAGTAATGGGGAGAAAAGAATAAGAAAATTTCGATCAGTTAATCAGAGAGAATTAAAGATGAGAAAAGGGAAGAACATGGAAGAAAAATGGAGAAGAGAAAACCTAAAATAGCTTCGAAATGATACCTCTGAGTCAGCTCTTCATCCATTTCTTCGAGTAAACTCCTGTAAATAATGGAAACAATTTAGAAAATTGTGATGAGAACAATGATTGACAGAGAAAAAAACGAATAATTATTAGAAAATTGTATTGACTGATTAACCATGATGAATACCATCATGAATAAATGAATGAATATTAGATAAAATAATTAACACACAACTAACCTACTCTCTTGCCACAATAGACTGGACATTTTTTAGCAAACACAAGCAACATTACAAAGATGCAGATGATAGAGTGAGAGAGAAAGAAAGAGAGAGAAAGAGAAAGTGACAAATGAAGACAGTTAGTTAGACAAATGATAACGAAACAATTAGTTCAGGTATTGATTGAATTGTTTTGACGTGAATAGAAATCAATTGTTCATACTTTCTGTCATGATCCTCTTCTGAAAGACCAATGTAAGACTCATCTGATGCTGGAAATTTACTCGGACTTTCGGCGGCGTAATCATCCCATTCTGTTTGTCTGAAGACAATTCCATCGGTTTTAATTTCTGAAAGCGGTCTATTGAAACGCGATGCATTAAGCGCTGATGGTGGTTTCTTTGAAGGTATTCGTCGAGGAACGGAAACAATTTCTTCAACTTCATCTGGATCAAGATCGTTATGAAGATGCATGTCAAACGAATGTGGATTACGAGCCTTATCAATAAGCTCTTTGGTTAAACGTCTATTTAGATGATCACCTTGGACAAATTGATGAGTCAAAAGCTTTTCCGCCGATGGACGTTTCTTGGGATTCTTGGTTAAAGCTGATTTAATGAAATTATGGAAATCTTGAGACCAGAGGTGTTTATCTTTCAGGGTGGGTGGTTTAAAGCTTGATTTAGACATAAGAAATAAAGCTCTCATCGGATGTAAATCATACATTGGTGGCTGTCTTTCGGCTAATTCAATGGCCGTTATACCAAGAGCCCATATATCACATTGTTGATCATATCCACCTTTCTTTTCAACGGCAGCCACTTCTGGAGCCATCCAATAAGGTGTACCTATCAGAGATTGTCGCTTATTAATGGTCGCTGTTATTTGAGCTGATACACCAAAATCAGCTAATTTAACATCACCCTCATTGGTTAATAAAATGTTGGGTCCTTTAATATCTCGATGCATTCGGCCCATTGAGTGAAGGTAAAATAACCCGTTCAATGTTTCTCGGCACACAAATGCAATATGAGGCTCAGGGAGTGAACCAGTAACTAGATAGATATCTTGAAGTGATCCACCACCACAATATTCCATGCAAATCCATAATCTATCTCTACTTAAATAGCTTCCATAGAAAGCGACAATATTTGGATGGCGACAATCTTTCATCATAACAATTTCCTGTTGTATCACCCGAAAATCCTCTAAGGGATCTAATTTAATAATCTTTATTGCAGCTAGCTCATTTTTGGATATTCTTTTAGCCTGTAAACAAGGATAAGGGAAAAAGAAAATACAATATTAGTAAAGGAAAGGAATATAAACACAATAAAATGATACTCAAAGTAGAATAGAAAAAGAGAGATAAGATTAAACGGTTCAACTTCAACCGAATATTATTGACAAGTCAAGCAAACAGGTAGAAATAGTAGATGACTCAGAGGTAATTAAAGACACACAGTTACAGTCACACACATAAAAGAATATAAAACTACAGAGAGAAAGAAAAAAAAATGATAGAAATACGTTGGGACGAGAAGAGAAAATAAAAGAATAATAAAAAGAGAAAAACATAACAATTGATAAAGAGAATAGAAAATGTTTACCTTATAGACATCACCATAAGTACCACTCCCAACTCTCTGGATGAGGTCATAATCCGTCGGATTTTTACGGGAAATGTCCATCGGTAGTTAAGGTGTGAGAACAGAATAAAAAATAATAATTAATCGACATAAAAAATCAACTTAATTTCAATTAAAAAAGATCAACAAACATCAATAGTCAAAAGTTGTTTGAATGAAGAATCTGAGCGACGCTTGCGCTCAGAACATGAACAGCGACATCTTTTGGTCGAAATTATTATTTTTCGATTTTCGAAAAAAATTCCAATCGATTAATTATGTCCAGCTAATTGTCTTAGTCTAATTAAGAAGATCATAAGAATTTGTTCCAATATCACTTGAAGTAAGTTTTCTCTTGATTTGATTTTCCGCTTAAATGTGACAGTTAATCAACTGGAATGTCAATCAATCATTTTCTGTTTCATTCTAATTCTGTTACAATTACTATTTAATCAGGTGTATAATTTAATTACTTCCTAGATTATATGTAATTAATTTTTATCTTCAACTTACTTTTGTGATTTAACTTTCATTATAATCTTTGGTTAAATCCAATTGACCTTATTGATTGTCATTTTTGTCAGATTTCATGTTCGTTTCATGATTAGTTAATCATGTTACCTTTAAGCTTGTGTTTATTATTATTGTCATTGATTTAATTGTCTAATTGTATTATCAGCTTTACCTTGAAACATTTACTATTTAATTCATGGTTTCAATGGTCCAATTTGATTATCACAAATGACTTAACATGTCTCTAGATTGTTTAAATTACAATTGTAATCATAATGACAACAAATCTACAAAAATGACTTGTAAAAATGGTGATTAGGTTTGGTTAAGATTTTGCCTTCTAATTTAATAACAATTAAAAATGATGACTCAACATAGTTTACATTTTGTAATTACAATTAAGCTTTCTAACCACAGTAATCATCACAATTAGTAGATATTAATACAATCTATTAGCATTTAAAGTCCATCCAATGTTAATTGAAAATCCATCAAGAAGCAATTACATGTAACTACATGTACGAAATGTAATCTGATACAATCAACAATTAGTAAATGGATATGAGGCTCATTTTAAATCAAGAAATGTGATTAAAAGATGAGGTAATAATAAACAAACAATAGAGTTAATATCAATTGATTTAAGGAACTGATTGTTGTTATTTAAATTTAGAAACACTGACAAGACTATTTTTCAATGTTCGAGGTGTTTAACCAACAATTAACTGGCAAACAATCAAGAAACAACAATCAAGTCTAATGGTTGTTGGGTCGCTACTCCCAATTCAGAAAAATCTCCCACTCCCATATTTTGATCATCTCTCATTTCTGTTAATCAACTTTGGGTTGATTTAGATTCGTTACTGATTATCATTAGATTGTGAAAATCTATTGGCCCATTCAGGTGAATTAACTAAACCTCAAACAATTTAGCTTCTTTATCTTAGCCTCTCGCATTGGTAAACAATATTACACACTAATTATTTTGCAATTCGTTTCTTTCGACCAACAATTAAAGGTCCTATGGTTCTAATTTTCAGTTGAAAAGTTGATGGATCACTTTTTCCACCCTAAAAGATGATTATATTTGGAAAAAATGACCATTGGTCAAGTGAACTTTAACCTGGAAACGATAATCGAAACAGATGATTGAAGAATCGTTTTCATCCTTGATTTCCCGGAATTAACTTTTCTACATTCATCTTGGTGGTTACAACCTTTTTCTTTCTTTCTCTCTTTCTTTTCTTTCTTACCGGTTTTTCATTCTCTCTCTCTCTCTCTTTCTCTCTTACCTGGAACCACTTTTCATCATCTTCCTCTCATCATCATTATAATTTTCTCTCTCTCTCTCTTATGCCAAATCTTTTTCTCTCAGGTAGTTACGGTTATCATACCTACTCATTTGTGGACAGACTGAAGTTTTTGTTGTTGAATTTGTGGAAATGGGAAATTGTTTGGATTCTGTTAACAATTTATGGCTAATTGTTGATGTAAATTAGATTTTCCAACGTGATCTGTATTGTTAAATCAACTGTTTAATCAACGGGAATAATGTTCAATACAATATCACCTTCGAAAAGTGTATCTATCAAGTGTTATCATCTAAATTGTGAACATATTGATTAGTGAAATAAATTTTTTTATCCAAATCTATTTGTGAACAATTTGAAATGACAACAATTTACCACAATTTAAGGTGACAAATTAGTATAACTAGTGTTAGATTGAGTCAACAATTATGGAACTAAGTAAATTTAATCCAGTTAATACCAAATGGTTACATTTAACTGTCGTTTTCCTCATATTTGGTTTAGAAATTGTTTCCAGTGAAAATGTCACTTTGTGTCCTCTCTTATTGAGAAGTGTTTGTCAATGTGATTCTAAATATCTCATCACTAATTGTACTTCAGCAAATATAACTGAAATTTCCTGGTTACATGATATTCCAATTGAAACGAAACAATTAATTCTCACCGGTAATGATTTACCCAAATTACCAAAAAATGTTTTCGGGTTTGAAAGTAAACAAATCAAACCAGTTGAGTATCTTGACCTGTCCAGCAACAAGATCCAATTGATTGACAGTGAAAGTCTTCGTGGCTTCAGATTGGTCAAGAAATTAATTCTAAACAACAATCAAATATTGATCACAGGTAAGAGATTAAATCAGTTGGTTTAAATTGTTGAGAAGATTAATTAAATGTTGACCTTTTGTTTTTCACTCTCTGTAGGTGATAATTTTCCTCGAGGTTTGTTCAATGGGTTCAACGATTTAACGGAACTTCATTTGGCCTCAGCTTTTTCGGACACTTCGAATCCACAATTTGTGCCCAATTTAATTACTCTGCTTAAAGAGGCAAATTTAACTAATTTAAGTATCTTAAACTTGGAATCAAATGGAATCAATGGTTTTCCGGAAGAATCAACAATTTGTTCATTTCCATCACTTCAGAAATTGTTTCTCGCCGGTAATTCGTTTGGTCAACTTCGGCTTAATTTCACTTGTACGCCACGATTAAGGACACTTGACCTTTCTCATAATTTGGTCAAGAATCTGGACAATGTGTCCACCTCTTTCATCGAGGATCTGCCCAGGTCATTTCATATGAACCTTACGGGAAATCCGTTTGCATGCGATTGCCGAATGGACCATTTTCTGACCTGGATCAAACGGACACCCTTGTTTGTTATGGGTAAAGATAATTATATTTGTTTATCGGGTTACCCAGCGGTTAATGTTTATCGTCGATTGATACAATTAACGTCCGATGATCTTGATTGTGATCCCTCTTGGTCTCAATCAGCAACTTTCTCGTTCTATCCTCATATTATTTTGGCCATTCTAACGGTCACTGTTGTTTTGCTCTTGGTTTTGGTTCTTTATCAAGTTCGGTCCAATATTTCGGACTTTCTCTTGACCACTTGGTCGAACAGTAAGATCAAAAGTTACTCTGCCCTTCGGAAGGACGACAAACCCGAAACAGCGAATCCAGAAAGACGAATTATCGAGATTTCGGTTTAACGAAATAATCCACCAAATATTAACCATATCAAACTCGTTAACTAATTGTCACCGACTTCCGATTGATACGAATAATTTAATCAATCAGTTAATTGTCCTTGTAAATTTTACAGATGATTTTTGTTTTTTTAAAACAATTATTTTGGTTATAAATTATTCTCGTCACTTACAAATTGACCATTGGTCATTAGCGTTTATTTTTGTGTATATTAATACAAGTAAAGTGCTCGTTAAACAATAAAAATTTATGAATCGAAAATTAATCAACAATCTACAGTAGGAATATCATTTCGAGAGCAAATCTGATAACTCTGTGTGGAAAGTTACTTGATAGTATTCTAATTAGTAAATCAATTTACAGTAAAAGGAAAGAGAAATTAAGTGATTAAAGGAAATCTGTTGATTACTTAATAAACCAAGAGTTAAGGTTAAGGTCAAAGATTAAACAATCAATTTGCTTTTGTATTTGGGCGGAAATTGTTTCTGCCAATCAAATTATCTTGGATCCCAATTGCTCCTGGTGACACCTGATGATTAACTACTTTTCCACTAGATGTATTTCTGATTCCTAGTTTTATTAATAATTTACAATCAGTTTAAATTTGTCTCTCCCCAAATCAATTGTGCTAAAATCTTTCATCAACCTTCAATTAGTTTTTCCTCTGTTACGATTACAGTTCATCGTTAGCAATGGAGCTTTACTCTTTCAATGAATCTCAGATAATCTGTGTTAGGTTGTATTTCACTCGTGAGAAAGACTTTGTGATTGATTGGGAAGGAGAGTTCTTGCCCCTAATTCAACGGTTCGAGACTTCCGACTACAAGCACACCGTTGAATGGGTTAAAAGCCTCTACGACACTTTCGCCTTTGGCTACGCGATGGCTGCAAGAATGCAAAACTGTAAAAAGATCGATGGTTATCTAAAGCGATTGACCAGTTAACCATTGGCGCTAATTGTTAACTAACACTTATCTATGGATTTATCGGTATAATGATTGTCAGTAAAGTATTTTTTTACTATTCTATTGAAAGATTCAAGCTTTTAATTGTGTGGGTTGATTGTTACACGGGAACGAAAATCTAAATTAACGAGTTTTAATCACAATTAGTAAACGAAACTATTCAATCGATGAACTTGGAAAACGAGAAAATGATTGGAATAAGTTGAATCTCCTTCGATGGGCACAATTAAGATGAAACCTTTTCGCAACTGAGCCTAGGATTTGAATGATTTCCGTAGTTTTATTGACTGTCGATCTCTTTTACGATCTAACACTCTCACTCTGGCTCACTAAAAGTTTGTTGCAGTTATAGTTATAAATATAGAAGGAGAAATAGAGAGAGAAAGAGAGGGAGAGAGCAAGATTAAGAAAGAAAGTAAGATTATCTCTCTGAGTTCTCAAGAAAGAGAGAGAGATAATATTGTACAGGGCGTTTTTTACATTTTACGATATTTAGATATTTTTTTTCTAATGTCTCGTGAGCGGAAAGTCGAATAGAAGTCATTGTCGAACTTTGGACTATTGAAAATTAGTTACCAATCTCAAATTCCAAGGTCATTGATTTATTCATAAAAACATTGAAATATCGTTTCGAGTGTAAACTTTGTGTGGAAAGTTACATATTGTAGTTAATATTTGAATCGTGATATTAGTTGATGTTTGAATTGATTAGAATTAAAGTAACAGGAAAGAGAAATTAAGTGATTAAAGGAAATCTGTTGATTACTTAATAAACCAAGAGTTAAGGTTAAGGTCAAAGATTAAACAATCAACTAATCAACAATCAATTTTTTTGTATTTGGGCGGAAATTGTTTCTGCCAATCAGATTATCTTGGATCCCAATTGCTCCTGGTGACACCTGATGATTAACCTTTTCCACTAGATGTATTTCTGATTCCTAGTTTTAATTGACAAACAGTTTAAATTTGTCTCTCCCCAAATCAATTGTGCTAAAATCTTTCATCTACCTTCAATTAGTGTTTCCTCTATTAAGATTACAGTTCATCTTTAAAAATGGAGATTTACCCTTTCAACAAATCTCAGTGTAAATGTATAGTTTTGTATTTCACTCGTGAGAAAGACTTTGTGATTGATTGGGAAGGAGAGCTCTTGCCGCTAATTCAACGGTTCGAGACTTCAGATCACAAGTGGACAGTTAAACAAGTTCTAGTGGGCTATGACGTGTTTACCGAAGGCTACGCTCTCTCTGCCAGAGCTCAAAACTGTAAAAAGATCGATGGTTATCTCGATAAAAAAGATCGGGACTTCCAACGTGGTTTGTACGCCCCTGTCGAAACTGTTGAACCTTCACCTGATCCTGTTGACCTACCGGTTGATCAACTAACCTTGAAAAGCGATTGATCAGTTAACCATCGGTGCTAATTGTAACTAACACATATCTATGAATGGTACACTATGTATTGGTAAAATTTGTAATAATTGTCAATATGATTAAATGAAATATTTTTTCACTTGTTTTACTTATTCAATTGAAAGATTCAAGCTTTTAATTATTACACGGGAACTATAATCTAATTATGTTTTTCTTACGTTCAAAAACTCGTTAACAGGTAACAATAAGATTATTGGTGGTTTTATCATAACCAAACAACAATCAAAGTTTCAGCCCAAATCAAAAAAATACGAAAATTCTTATGAATCTATGCGCTCAACCAGAAAATGATCAGAAAAAATTTTTAGGCAGAAACGCTTGTTGTCCTTTAATTGTCGATGGATAAAAATGAGAGAAAAGTTGATTTATTTTCAATTAGTTTTCTTGATTGAGTGTAAATTTACAGTTACAAAGATAATATGAATTAATTGTTGATTGACGAAAGATATAAATTACAAAGGAGCGATTTGGTTACGACTTATTGTAAATCTGAAATTAGAGTTTTTCCTTTCACCAAGAGATGATGATTTAGGTCTTCGATCGTTTGTTGATTGCGATTGATTGTTTTGTGGATTAATTGTTGATTCATCTTCTTCGACAATTTTATCTAATTGATCGAGACTTCCGAAGATCAAAACTGTTCGTTCCCTTGGTTCGTTTACAGAGAATCGTCTTTGAGTTATCACCTTTTCCTTGAAATCAGAATCCTCATGAATCGTGTTTTCCTTTTCAACATCTTCGATAATCAATTCATTTCGATTAATATCATCACTTCCATGTCTCTCTCCATCTTGCTGATTGATTTGATTCTCTTGGTTCCCTTGGTTACGAAACTTTTCAATTCTTTTCCTCATCACTTCCTGTTCCAGTTTGATCTGTTCCTTGGTTTCAATTTCAACCCGTGAAGATAATCCAGTCCAATTAGATTGGATATACCCAAGTAACCATTGATATCCCCGATCCAATAAAGGATTATTGGTAAATCTGTTTGCCCATCGATTGATTAATGAGCAAGATTCCTGTTGATTAGATTAAACAATTGATTAGAAAAATAAAATAACCTCAATCATTGGATTTCAATTTAAGGTGGTAAACACTCACAACTCTTGTAGGTAATTTATATCTGTTGACAATTGAATTAAGATTGATTGCTTGAACCAACGCAGTTTCGTCCATTGAACCTTCAACATCTTGCTTATTAATTAACCTAAATGATAACAATCAAATGTAACATTTGAATAGAAAGAGAGAAAAGGTCATAAAGTAAATTTAAAAGTAAATTAATCGACTCAACTATAAATAAACTCGCTGATTGTTTGAACACTCACACAAGAAGAGGTTTACCCTGAACTCGGCGATTGGATAAAACTGATTCCAGAATTTCCTTGACCTGGTCAATCCTATTGGTGTCCGATGAATCGACCACGAAAACGAACCCATGGACGAAAGGAAAATAATTTATCCAAATATCTCGAATATTTTTTCCACCTCCAGTATCGTAAACCTGAACATTGAATTTTCGATAACTTTTCAAATCGACTGATGAGAATCCAATTGTTGGAACAATGTCACTTGATGGATCTGAATTTAAAAGAGAAACAATTAAAATTAATCAATAGAAACTCATGTACATGGATCATTATCAACTCTTGCGAAAATTTGAACAATTAGTTCGCAATTAAGTTACAATTACTAACCTTTGAGTACATATTTAACGAATGATGTTTTACCAGCACCATCGAGACCGAATGTCATTAATCTGATTGTCTCCAAACTACAATTAAAATGAGAGAAATTAAATCAACTATCAAGTATCGCTTCAGATCGTTGATGATTTGTGATCGTTTTTAATTGTTATCCACTTACTTTGATTTCGAGCAACACAATTTAGTTGTTGATGATGAACAGCATCCCATTGGTTGATGATTAATTTTAATTGTTATTCAACACATTTGATTGTTTCTTTTTAATTATAACCTTTTTTTAAGTTGATTATCTTAATATTATCAGAGGGAAAATGTTCATTCATGTTTTGTTTTGTTATCGTTTTGTATTTGAATCCATGGTGATGCTCCCAAGGTTTGTCTCCATTTGATTATCATCATTGTTCATTTGATTATCTCAATGAAATTACTCATTAAAATTTCATTTGATTCTTTGATCAATCAAATTAGATTTACTTACATGATCATTTTCAGTAAAAATCGAAATCAGTTGTCAACAATTTCATCTAATGAATCAATTTTCTACCACTGAGCAAGTTAATTGTTCATGTTGTTTGTCTCTTTTTCCAATGTTAATTGTTTACATTTTCAAGTTTCAATCAATAGTATTTTCTGATTATCATTATCCTAAATGAACTAAAGATCAATTTACATTTGTATATGGATTATTTAAATTCAAGTGATTAAAATGTTTACAATCTATTGGGATAATGATGGATTAATAAAACGTTTATTAATGTGTACAAATTGTTTCAAATCACCTTTGATTCTCGTTCAATTGGTTACACGTTAATCGTGTTTACATAATTTAGTAGGTAAACAAATGTATCTTTTATGAGTTAACGAAATATATATAACGTACAATTATTATGTATAAGATTATAATATTTAAAGAATTAAGAAAAGATTAAGATAATTACAGTACAAAATTTTGCCAATTGTTTGATCCGAATAATGGATTAGATTCAGTTTTTTCTTCCTCAACGTAGTGTTTATCCTTTTTTTCACCATCGAATTTGGGATAATCAGTTGATCATTTAGTTGGTGTTGGTTTCACTTGATTCAGGCTCAGAGTCAGATGAAGAGACACTACTAATTGAGGAACCTCTGTTTGGAGAGTAATCAGTGTCGGTCGATTGACAATTAAGCTCGTTCTTTTGGTCTTCCCCTTTGGCCTCAAATTCATCGAAAATCTTTTTCAGGGTATTGATGAAAGTATAAACATCGGCAAATGAATTGTACAATGGAGCGGGTGAAACTCTCATGACATTAGGCATTCTTATATCACACTGATGGAAAAAGATAGAAAAAGATTAGAAAATCAAGAATCATTTAGCTAAATTGTCGATTTTTTAATCGTTCTTGTATAATACTTACCACGATTCCTAATTTTTGAAGCTCTTCTTGGATGGCAGTTAATGGAACTGAGAACATAATAGATAATTGTGATCCTCTTTGGTTTGGATCAGCGGGTGTGATAATTTTCACGGTTGGTAAAGCTCGGATCTCTTCAACATCAGTCGCACCATTATTGTCATAATTAAAGTACGATTGGAAATAATGTTTCAACATGTATTCAAGATACCCTGTAATTAGAAACTGTTTCTTTTGAATGTCCTCCATTGAAGTTTGGTTGAAAATCTGAAAAGAGAAACAACAAATCAATATTCAATCTGATTAAATGTGAACTTAAATTTACTCACATCAAGACTTGACATCAAAGATGCGGCCAATAAAGGTGGCGGGTTACTAATTCTGAACATATCGGCTCCAGCACTAGCATCAAATTCTGAGAAATTGAAACACAAATGAAATGGATTAGTTTCAGTTGAAATTTTCCATATAGAAATAGAAATACTCACCATCTTTCATGAGGAATTTAGTCTTCATATTATTTCCCCACCAACCCTTCAACATGGGGAATTGGGAAGTTCCTCCCTTTTCGGTCAACCTTTGGTGAATGAAAATCGCTCCGATACAACCTGGGCCTGAGTTGAGATACTTTATAGAAAATGACCAATACAAATAAACAGAAATTAGCAAAAACCACAAGGAAACCAACCAATTACCACTTACCTTATATGTACACCAAACAGCGAAATCAACATTCCAATCATGGAAATGTAATGAGACATTTCCAGCAGCATGAGCAGCATCAACACCGACAATGATTCCCTTTTCATGAGCGGATTGAGTCAATTTCTTAATGTTCATAAATTGTCCAGTGTAATAATTTATTCCAGGTAACAGGAGGAGAGCCACTGAATTACCTGATTCCTTGATCATGGAAACGATATCTTCTTCTCGGAGTAGATGTTCTCCCTTGAAACATTATGGAACAAATAAAATTAATTACAAATTAAAAAAAAAGAAAAACAAAGAGCAACAATCAAATTGTTCCTTTTCCCTCCAATTCACTTGAACGAATGAATAATTTTCTCTTTCTTTTAGTCACATGTTTTTCTTTCTTTTCCAATGTTCTTTTTTTTTTTTTCTATTGTGAACTTGATTTCTTAATATTTAATAATTTCTTTTTCTTTTTTTCGATTATCTGATTAAGCTCAGCAATTAGATAATCTTTAAGAATATCTTGTAATCCTTCGGGAATCTAATTAATCGTTTTTCTATCCTTTAGGTTCAATTCAAGGTTTTCTTTTACCTTTTTAATTCTTACTCGGCGATTTTCAATTTCTATTTGTAATGTTAATCAATTTTTAGGTTTTTTTCTCTTTTTCAAAGTTGTAAAGAAAAACTAATTTATTAATTGTTCTATTCTCTATTCTCAGAATTATCTCCAATCAATAGGAGGAAATCCAACAAGTTACCATCAGATGGATTAATCTTAATCTGCCATTAGGATTCCAACTGTGAAGATCAAGCTCTTAGCCTTGGTAAGCGAGTTAACTAGTTATTTGCTTGTGGCTTTTTCGTATTCATTTTCTGGGCAAAAGAGTTGGAAGATAAAACGAAATGATATTCAACATCACTGGTAACCGAAGGCTACAGATTTAAAACGGTATTTCCAAATTTCGTACAAGTAAATTATCAAAATGGATCTTTTTCTTTTTCATCATCGTTTTCTTAATCTCTCTCTCTCGCTCTCATGTAATACTTTTATCCTTGTCAAGAATTATGTTAACAGAAGATGTTAATCTATCGAAAGAAAAGCCTTTTGGATATAAACCCGTGGAATCGAAAGGCTGAAACTGTTCAACGGCGATGAAAACGATGGGTGTGAATCGACAGTGAAAATCATGTTGATTAGCTAATGTTTGATTGATAGATTTGAAAGAATCTCGATCTTTTCTTTGATCTAACCTTGTACAATTTAATATACTGGAAGCCTTGAGAGATTCAAAGAATTGGGATCATTTGGGTGAGCTTTTATTATTAGTAATATCACCTAATGAAATTTGACAATCAACGAGTTAATCATTATTCTCAAAACTTTCCAACTAATTTTGGTTTTTTTTTCTCTCTCTCTCTCTCTCATTGACTAGGCCAATATAATATTAATCTTTCTCGCATGGATTTAGTTGATCCTCAAGGTATTCAGCATCTCAATTTATGATCTCCTGGATCAGCTGTCATATTCAATAATATATATTTACAACTAATATTGATGGAAACCATTGATTAAATGAGATCACTGATAAGTTTTTCTTGGTCAATGTTAACAAAGGTAAATATTAGACTGTAAATAACATCAATGGATAAATATACTTACCATTCTTGGCTTGAATAATAGTAAACTCTCCTCGACCGGGTAACCATGAAGTGTAAGGTGTGATTTAACTGCGTACTATAAATATTTGACAAGAAAGTGTTTAAAAATAAATCCATGGATAAATTTTTAGACTTAATTGTTATTTACAGTAAACTTACCATGTCAGAGGAAAATGCATGTTCTTCAATCATAATCTTGTATCTTTGAGCTGATGGCCGATAAAATGTTGATAACATTAGATGGAGATTAACAGTTAATCCATTCATGATGGCCACTTCTCCGGGTAGAGCGCCAACCAATTTGGACATTGGTAATTTTGGTGGAATGTCACACAAAGCCGCCGGTAAAGATCCGTCGAAATGAGAGTGAACTCCTTTACGACCCCAATTGTCAAGAACCTCTCGACAATATTTGTCCGCAGCTTTTGGTTTCAGTCCTAACGATTGGCCACACAAGTAAATTGCTTCGGCATTTTCATCTATCCGATTAGGATCAACTAATCATCACAAACACGGATAAAAGAAACAAGGTAAATGATTACACATTACAAGTAGATTATAAAATTTTAGAGGCACTTAATTGTTAATTCACTCTTGCTTTTTGTTTTATTGCTTCTTTATTTACCTCTCTTCATACAGGGTAAATACCAAATCTCTCATCTTTTTAGGGATCAACTTGTTTTCTAGTAAATTCCCGTTGATACATTTATCTAATTTGGTTTGAAACTGGTTCTGTCTCAAAACAACAAAAGTTCACCAGCACCCAAATCTTGAAGGAAGTTGAAATTTAAGGTGAAAGTTGATCTGAATTCCTGGTACTATTATACTGAAGATGAACTTGTAACCTTTAAATTTGTTTATAACTATTTACGTTTTTGAAACTTTTTCATTGAGACGATTGCAAGCAAAAGGTTATTTTGGTTCTTTCATCATCATCATCAGTAGCACAATTATGATATAAATATGAAGATTAGACTACTCACCGTAGGGTAAATCACGTTTCTTGGGGAAGCAAAATGATTTTCGAAAATGTGACAAAGGATCTTCACTGTCCATTCGTTGGGCAAACTCGAAACTTTCCACTGGAATTCCCCAGATGATTGATTTCTCACGAAGAACCGCCGATGGATAAGTAATTGTTGTAGATCGACTTCGTTTGGCTGAAGCATGATAACCACTCGATCCACCGTTTGTCTGTGAAGTTACATGGGGATAAGTTATTAGTGTTTGCAGAGATTCCATGGTGTTAATCGAGATGACAACTGATCGAATATAATTGTTAACCTTTCAACTTGAATTTAAAGTTGTTTATATTTAGATTTAACTTGGAACAAAGTGAAAATCGTGAAGGAAAATATCAAATAATATGAGAGGATATTTTCTCACCAACTAATTCATGTCGATTCAAACTGATTATCACCAAATAATTTGGACGATTTTCACTTTTAATCAGAACGTGTAGATTGATGGAAACAATAACGTCTCCCGAATTTTTCGTAAACAACCGATGATCGTGAAAATCGAGATTGAGGTCGGATCGCGCTATGTGATCTCCCCTTTTCTTCCTCATATTATTTATATTAATTCTTCTTTTCCAATTTAGAACTAATTTTTTCTTTCTTTTCTCATTTTCAGGTCAAGTTGAAAGTGAAAAGCATGAAGACAGCGAATGGTTTTTTTTTCGGAAAATTTATTCCAAATTCGAAAAAGAGATTATTTTTACATTGAATGTCGACTTTATATTTTTGTTCTTTGCTCGCTAACTGATGATATTACTTTCAGTTTGAAAAAGAAATCACAATCTGATGATTAGTAACCTAATTAAATCGTTATTGAGCCTCCGTAAGAATCAAGAACGGGAACCAACAGGTAGACAGGTAAATTCAATCTGATTACTAAATTGAAAATCTTCATTAATTTTTAATACTTTCACTTTTTATCTCCTTTTTTGCTTAATTTTACTTCATTTGTTACCGTTACCTGACAAATGAATTCACTTTGATTTAATTCAATCTGATTTAACTAATGGTGTTTACTAAATGCTAACAACTTGAACTGTATTCTGGTTTGCTCTTGACCGTTCAGTGTATTTAAAGTGATCATAACTTAATCAAGATCAAGGCTGAAAATTTGATATGGTGCAATTTATCAACGATAATCTATTAACTCGAATTGGTTTGGGAAAGTTGATTATTGTGTAATTTGATTTAGTTTTCTAATCAAAAAAAGGTGTGGAAAAGAAAATCACAATTTAACTTACCATTGATTGTCTTTGATTACTAATCGATCGTGTTGATCTGTTGACTGTTTCCATTTTGGTCTCTGATGGTTTTTGGAATCAAAGTATGACAACTTTATCTTCAGTGTAGCAATTAACGAATTTTAATCACAATTAGTAAACGAAACTATTGAATCGATGAACTTGGAAAACGAGAAAATGATTGGAATAAGTTGAATCTCCTTCGATGGGCACAATTAAGATGAAACCTTTTCGCAACTGAGCCTAGGATTTGAATGATTTCCGTAGTTTTATTGACTGTCGATCTCTTTTACGATCTAACACTCTCACTCTGGCTCACTCAAAGTTTGTTGCAGTTATAGTTATAAATATAGAAGGAGAAATAGAGAGAGAAAAAGAGGGAGAGAGCAAGATTAAGAAAGAAAGTAAGATTATCTCTCTGAGTACTCAAGAGAGAGATAATATTGTACAAGGCGTTTTTTACATTTTACGATATTTAGATATTTTTGTTCTAATGTCTCGTGAGCGGAAAGTCGAATAGAAGTCATTGTCGAACTTTGGACTATTGAAAATAATTGTCAATTTCAAATTCCAAGGTCATTGATATATTCATGAAAACAGTTGAAATATCGTTTCGAGAGTAAACTTTGTGTAGAAAGTTACATATTGTACTTGGTATTTGAATCGTGATATTAGTTGATGTTTGAATTGATTAGAATTAGTAAGTCACTTTAAAGTAAAATGAAAGAGAAATTAAGTGATTAAAGGAAATGTTATGATTACTTAATAAACCAAGAGTTAAGGTTAAGGTCAAAGAGTAAACAATCAACTAATTAACAATCAATTTGCTTTTGTATTTGGGCGGAAATTGTTTCTGCCAATCAGATTATCGTGGATCCCAATTGCTCCTGGTGACACCTGATGATTAACCTTTTCCACTAGATGTATTTCTGTTTCCTAGTTTTGATTGACAATCAGTTTAAATTTGTCTCTTCACAAATCAATTGTTCTAAAATCTTTCATCAACCTTCAATTAGTGTTTCCTCTATTAAGATTACAGTTCATCTTTAAAAATGGATTTACTCTTTCAATGAATCTCAGATAAAACTGTGCTTTTTGTATTTCACTCGTGAGAAAGACTTTGTAATTGATTTTGAAGGAGAGTTATTGCCGCTAATTCAACGTTTCGAGACTTCAGATCACAAGTGGACAGTTGAACAGGTTCGTAAGTACTATGAATTGGTTTCCGATGTCTACGAAATTGCTTCTAAAGATTTCGGTTGTCAAAAGATCAAGGGTTATCTCGATAAAAAAGATCGGGACTTCCAACGTGGTTTGTACGCCCCTGTTGAACCTGTTGAACCTTCACCTGATCCTGTTGACCTACCGGTTGATCAACTAACCTTGAAAAGCGATTGATCAGTTAACCATCGGTGCTAATTGTAACTAACACTTATCTATGAATGAGATTGAACTGATCTCATCTTATTCGGTGTATCGTTACAATGATTGTCGATTTGATTAAATGAAATATTTTTTACCATTATTCAATTGAAAGATTTAATTGTGTGGGTTAATTATTTCACGGAAACGATGATTATGTTTTTCTTGAGTATAACAATTCAGGTTAACAGGTAACAATAAGATTGATTTATTTTTTCATAGTTTTCCTATTATTTAGATTGGAACAAGTTTAACTTGATTGTCAGGAAATTAAGTTAATTTAAAGTCAAATCAGTTAAATAATTAACAATATAAAATTCAAGGTTTAACCATTTTGGTTTCAGAATTTGCAATTTTGTTAATTTTTTGCTTGCATATGATTAGTTTCAACAATTGATTAACGATTATTTAATCTTAACTAAATTGTAGCTGTAAATACAATGAAAACAATGTCAATGTCAAAATTAAAATTAATTGTTAGCTCACAATTAACTTTAAGATCATTAACATTTCAGGCATTAGAAACGAGAGATAATTAATCAATCGAGATATTTTTCACCAATCAAACTGTGATTGTATCCATCTTACTGGAGATAATTAGTATCATCAAAATGAATTTGACTTTAGTGATTAACTAATTTAATTTGTATTATTTTTTACATAATTATACACATGAAATTTGTGGTTATAAAATTAAATTAAATTTCTAACCTAAGCAGTTGCTAATTTTTGATTAGTTGAATCAGAAATTTCTGTCGATTTTTCCGAATCTGATTTAGTTTCTTCCTCTTTCTCTTCTTCGGGAATATCGGGCATTACAAACGTTTTAGGAATTGGACTTCGAGGTGGCATCCAATCGGGAATAATCTTACCATGGATCCTCCATTTTCCGTAAATATTAGCGACATGATTTTCGAAGACAATGTATTCGAGTATATTTTTGACTACTGATTCATCACCGAAAATTAAACGACCAAATCGATCGTAAATTGCTAAAGTTTGAGCTGAATTGAAGCGAACGGTAACTTGACCGAATTGAGATCCAGTATCTTGTCCATCAATATATCGAACATGAACTACTCGAGGAGGTTCATTGCTCTTAATAAATTGCCATCGAAGTGTTTTACAATCAACGTAACGAGTCATTTCTGGGTAACATTTCTCGGTAATGTATTCGAAAATTTCTTCATCGTCTCGATCAGCTAAACATTGGTGAGCTTTTTTATAAATTTCTAACGCTTCAGATGGAAAGACTCCTGGGTCGAAATATTCCAAAAACGTTCGAATTTTCCTCAAAGCCATCATTGATTTTCCTTTCGAAGCGACTTTCTTTGATTCTTGTTTACTTCTCTATAAGAAAAAGAAAAGGTTTAGGTCAACTTATTCTCAGAATATTTGGTTATTACAGTTTTGAGAGAAGAACATTTCATTGTTCTCACTGACTAATTACCTCAATTGACAACAGAGAGGCTTTTCCATCACCTTCAGGGGGTACAAATGGTTCCATGATACTTGCTGAACATGAAAGAAACATGGATTCTTCATTCCAATCTCTTGCAGGGGCGATACCTTGTTCTTTGAACATTGTCCTTCTCTCTTCGGGAGTAATATCTTCTGGTTTATTCTCTCGATATTTGTCCATCATTGTTAGATAATCTTTGGGAAGAGCGATCTTCCTGCCTCGTTCTACTCTCCAATCAAAATTGGGAATTCCTCGGTTCCAATACTGTTTAGGTCCAGGATTCCAATGTTTACCTCTTGCCGTTCGGTAAAAATTCTTGCAAACTGAAACTACCCCCAAGAACTTTTTTCCATTCATGATGAGTAAAAAACGAAGCACAATAAAAGCACCAAGAGAAACAAAAATTAAATCTAAAATCTGTTTTCAATCAAATGATAAAAAAATTCAATCCAATGAAAACTCAAAACAATAAAGAAACACATGGTTACTATTTGTAACACTTTATCTCAGAGCAGAACATGACCCTTTCGCTATATCTCACACTTTATCCATTCGGTTTCCAATAGCAACAGAAAACTAATAAACTAAATTAATTGTGTCGCTGATTTAATTAATTGCTCTGATTATTTAAGTTTCAGTCCAGTGAGAGAAGATCTAAATTAATTTGAAGAAACAATCTAATTGAAGTGAATTCAGATAAATTTGAATTTGAACCATTTAATATAAATACATGAATTAGAATCTAATTTGTTGATTGTTAGTTTTTGATTAAGTTTAAATGTTACACAATTAAAATAAGATTTAATTGCCACATGATGTAAAATGTGAACTTTTATTAACTATCGTGGGCTTGTGATTAATGATCTAAACATAATGACTAATGAATTATAATTCAACTGAATCTTCATTTAGAGACAATTAAGACAATTGATATTTTGTTTTTCTTTCTCAATTTTGATTGAATTAATTCACTAATAGATGATAACTTTCATTATAAACTAATTTCTCTTAAAAAATAATGCGAGAAAAAAACAAATTGTATGTCAATCTCAAGTAGCTCATTAAATTGTTTACAATTTAACTCTTTTCCTTAATCATGATGACCCAAAATACTAAATTGAATTGAGAATCAAATGAAAGGGGCTAATCACTAGCAAGATAATCACGATAAAATACTTAATTATAAAGTGAATGGTCATAGTAAAGAGAAAACATTATTCTCTGAATGGGTCAGAATTTAGTTAATCAACACTAATCATCGTATTCTGATGAGCCCTTTCAAGTTAATTATCGCTTTTCAATTGGAATAAAAATCAAATCAAAGTGAACGGAGAGAGAAAAATAAAAAAGATCAACAAGAGTAAGAAGAGAAGCAAAAAATGACAAGATTTAAGATCAACCTACTTTCAGGCCAATAATTTAGTCCGCAGAAAACTTGTTTCTATAATTTCTTGATTATCAACAATCAACAATCAACATAAAATCAAATTAAAGTAACTCAACATGTGACGAGACAAAATTGTTAACAGTTAAGGTTAACGGAGAGATGAGGGCAACCGAAGATGCGGTGGAACCTGTTTAGTTACTGGTTTGTCCTTTTCTCAATTTAACCCAACAATTAGTTTTAACTATTATCCTCATCCTCATCATCCTCATCATCATCATCATCTTTCTCTCTCTTCATCTCACTCAAATTCTCTCATTTTCGCCGTTCTGAACCCGGAACACACCCGATAGTTTGAATCAGAATTTTATTCTTGTTGTTATTTTTATTTCTCTTTGATTTTGTTTTTATTTCTTTTTCGCGATCATCCCTATTTACTTTTAATTGTGATTTAATTATTCCATCATTTCTAATTCTATTCGGATGCCTTGTTGGCATTCGTTTATCTCATTGTGATGACTGTCACCTAATCTCTTGTTGATTAACTTGTTGTCTAATCTAATCCAAGTTAATCCATTTCTGTTAATCTCTTTTTGTTTATTTCTTTTGAAACTTTTTTTTTCTCAATTGTTTTTCTTTAATCATGAATTTAATTGTTGTTGGTTTAAATGCCATTTCAAGGAAAATTTTCTCCAAGTGGACAATTGTGATTCTATTTGTGTTGATTACATTTGATCAATCAATTTACTCCAATGGATTATCCCATCATAATAGTCCACCAGTTTTTGACTTTAAAAGGGATTGGATTATCAAGGAAAATGAATCCATAGGTAATCAGATTATCCCATTTAATTAAAGTTCAATGTTTCGTTAATTAGTTTTCAATGTTAACAATAAGATTAATGTTTTTGTTAGAAAATGAAAAACTCATTGATTGTGACTTCCTGCCCAAAGAATAGGATTTAATTACAATGATTCGTGTCGATTGACTAACATTAACACAACAATCTAATTGTCTCATCAATTCAGTTAAGAGTGAAGTTAATGAACTTGGTTGATCATTGATTATGGTTCATTAATCTAATTACCATCAAATTGTAATTGTTATTCTATTTCTTGTTTCCAGGTCAGAAAGTCGCTTCTGTTTCAGCTCATGATTCTGACGGAGATGAAATTGTTTATGGACTTGAATCTGGCCTATTCCGTGACGGGTCATCATATTTCAATATTAATCCTCAAACTGGACAAGTATTTGTTAAACAATCACTTGTTGGACAGGTTAGTTAATCTTATCAAATCAATTAATTTAAATAACAATTGTATTATCATTTCTTGTACGCCTTCAATTAAGATTAACCATTGAAACGATTACAACAAAGTTTCATTCAACAATCAATTTCAATTGTTCACATAAATTGAATCTTGGTTATCAATCAATGGTGAAATTTTGTTTAATTGTCAAGTAGATTTCATTTTATACTTTGATCGACATTGTAATTGAGGTAATTGTAAAAATTTAAGTGAAAACAGTTTGGATATAATTAAGATGAACAATTGAGATTATTAATAGTTGTACAACAATAAAGGGAGAAAAATAATTAAATCAAAGTGATTAAAGTGGTTTACTTTTAGTGAATGAAATACAAATTTTCCCAACAATTACACTAATTTCATTCTTGGAATGTAAATTTGGAATTGGAAAATTGATAAAATCGTTGCGATTGAACTGTCCTAATGCTTTACGAACTCAAGTACTTGATGACCATTAGAACAGCAAGAGCACCGATAACGGTAATTAATACAATCGTCTTGGTGCCCATTGAGGATTGGCTTGAGTGGTTGATGTATTTAATTGGCGGTTGTGATGTTTTCATTGACGATGACGACGGAACTTGAGATGATCGGGATGATCGCGATCTCATTCTAGTAGAATGGTGGTGATGACGATGATCATTAGATGGTCTTGGTGAATATGAAGTTACCGGTGTTTGTTGTATCGATCTTGATGAAGATAATGATGTTACTGAGGACGATTGAGATCCGGTAAGTGATCGAGATCGATGAAGTGACCTTGGAGAATCTTCTTCTGATTTTGATGACCGTCTCGATGAACCGTAATCTGGTGATCGATTTGATGATCGAGATGGAGAATTTGGTGGTGAATCGAAGTCATAATCTTGGGCATCGTATCTTCTTCTTGGATATCGTGGTCGGTATCCACGATAACCACGACCTCGAGCACGAGCACGAGCACGACCTCGATATCTTCCGCGAGGTGTACCTCGTGGTCGCCTTGCTACTGCTTTCCGTTTGAAGCTCTTTAAACTGTTCACTAGATCTTGTCGAATATTTCCAACATTTCCATCGGAAAGCTTAATCGAATCTCGATGCTTTTCCAATACGCTATCGATTTCTGCGGAAATATCTTTATCTTCATCTTCACTTTTCTTGAAAGTGACTTTCGGCGTTCACTTGATCTTTGGAAGTGACTTTCGGCGTTCACTTTCGCCCATTAGCACCGAAATAAAATCCGAAAAAAACACTCGAAATAATTTAAACTTCTAAAATGAAGACAAGTAATGATACACAAACATTAATAGTTTCCTCGCAATTAAAATCCAAATGGAGAGTTAATTGTTGCAAAGGATTTGATAAATTGTTACAATTGTAAAAATTATCTTTCGATTTAAAAATTGACATTAATTATGATTTTTTCTTCAAATCTTTAGGCTGGTAATAGTTTCTATGTACTAATTACTGCCGATGATGGTTATCACACGGTAAGAAGATAATTAAATTTGATTGTGACAAATAAGTAAATCAGTTAATGATTCAACAATTTGTTTAATTTTCTTAGGCTAAAATTGAAGTTAATGCCAGAATTGTCAATCCAAATTCTGATCTAAATAATTTTGGTGAGTTTTTCTTGTTCATTTGTATTAGTTGACATGAAAGTTATTAAATTGATTAACTTTAGTTGATTGTTGATGATTAATGATTATTACTCACGTTAATCTGTATTTAGCTCTAAATCAACCTGCTCATCCATTTTCACCTTTCCATGGATCATATCCTGGACCATTTTTCGGTCAAAATGGACATAACAATCAACGATTACCATCAGCAATTGGGTTTCCTTATTATCCATCAACAACGACATCATCATCATCTCCATCCTCATCTTCATCTCTGTCATCATCAACATCATCTACAACAAAGGAACCATCAACATTATCATCAACTACAAGAAAACCATCATTAGTCAACTCAACTTTATCTACAATCAAATCAACACAGAAATCGGTTAATCCAACGAAACAGTTAATCACAACCAAACCAACATTAAAAGTGACCACTAGACCGACATTAGTGGTCACTGTTAATTCATCAAATGTTATTAATTATGTTAAAAAAGTTGATAACAATACATCAAGTCAAAAGGTTACTGTTAAGATCCCAATAACAACTCAATCATCATCATCATCATCACCTACAACACAATCAACATCAACTTCATCATTAACAACCACAACAACGAAGCCAATTGTAGCTGATATTAATCACCATGGATTTAATCACCATCATCATCAATCTCATCAATCGATGAAACTATTTTTTGAAATACTTCCTCTTCTAGCGACAATCATTTTTTTCACCTTAATTGGTTTTCTAATTTTTGGACTAAGTCGCTTATGTACTAGTCGAACTGAATCATCTTCGCACCTTGGCTCATGGCCGATGATGATAAAACCATCGGCTAATAAATGCGATTCAATGGAAACATCGGTTTGTTCAATCACAAGTGACCTTGAATATCGACCTGGTCCCTTTTATCCGCCAAACGTTTTCCCATCGGCACCAGAAAGTTACAGTGTCTTTGGAACCAATGATTTAAATGCAGCTCAATTAATTCCCAACAATTTAGAGAAATGGGAATTCCCTCGACATCATCTTCGTCTCTTGGGTATTCTGGGCGAAGGTTGTTTCGGTCGAGTTTGGAAGTGCGAAGCTTTCAGCATAAACGATGTCGAAGGTGCAACAATTGTGGCCGTTAAAACGACCAAAGAAACTTCATCGGAACAAGAGAAACGCGATTTAATGAGTGAATTAGAGATCATGTCACAACTCGAGGAGCACCCGAATGTCGTTAGTCTACTGGGCTGTTGTACTGAAATCGAGCCTCGATTCCTGATTTTAGAATATGTTCCATTTGGAACTCTACAAAGTTACCTTCGGGACAATCGATCAGAGCGATTCTATGGTAACATTCTCGGCGCATTTACGTCCCAAGATCTTACGTCATTTGCTTATCAAATTTCGAAAGGGATGGAATATATAAGTTCCAAAGGAGTAAGAGACTTTCACCAATTAACTTGACCAATTAAGTGATTAACTAACTTTTCTTTCATAATTAGATTATCCATCGTGACCTTGCCGCTCGCAACATTTTAATGGGAAACAATAAAACTTGTAAAATCGGCGACTTTGGTTTCTCTCGGCAAATTATAATCAATCAAATTTACGAACGAAAATCAGAGGTTAGTTAATTTTAGTGATTAATTTTAATTCGATTGATAATAAATTGTTGATATTTCTTACAAAAGGGCCGACTTCCAATACGATGGATGGCTCCAGAATCGTTATCGGATAATTTGTTCAGCGTTTCGAGCGATGTTTGGTCATTTGGTATCTTAATGTGGGAGATTTGTACCCTTGGGTCAACACCCTATCCAGGAATGTCCACCAAAGAGGTCATGAGAAAAGTTCGTGATGGTTATCGACTCGAAAAGCCTGAACACTGTAAACGGGAGATTTACAACATTATGTTTTATTGTTGGGATTCGCTGCCCGATGAGAGGCCAAAATTTCCCGAAATAACCAAAATGTTGGACAATTTGGTGACCAGTGAAAACGATTACATTGAACTTGACCGATTCCCTGACCACTCTTATTATAATGTTCTTACTAATCTTTCCGGAGAAAAACTGTAATCTCATAATCACCAAATTGTCGATTCAATTGTAATCATAATTGTAGTTACATTTTAATTCATTTTTTTATCAATTAATTATCCACATTCTGGTCAATGCACTTTCGTTTTTTTTTGCCATAAACTTAATTAAAATTCGTATTAATTAATTTACGCTCGTTTATTCAAACTTGTTGATTAAGAAACTATTAGATGATAAATAATGATGATTTTTGATTTGTGATAATCAAAAGTAATAATAATTTTTTGTCAATGGTCAACAGAAAACTAAATTAAAATATAAAGGATTGTGATTAAGTAGTTAATCATACATGTAGGGTAAAATGCTGCCCCTTAAATTGACAGTTAATTGTATTCAATACATGTGACATAAAATTAGAAATTGGTTTGAAAGGTTCGGTGGTTTGTTGATTGCGTCAATTGTTTGCTGTTGATTATTGACTTTTTGCTTTCTCTTTCACTGATTGTTGATTAACTGTTTTAATGCACGTTGTTGATGAGCTTGGTTCCTTTTGGTTACTTTTGATTCCATAAGTATTAACAAAAAAGTGAGCAAATAAAACAAAATAACTACCATACATAATTAAACCTAATTTAGCTGTTGAAACGGGTAATTTACAGGCAACACCTTGTGTGGCTTTGGAGTAGCCATAGTAGGTGACGAAACAGCCGATGACCATTTGAATAATTTGTGAACTAGTGATGACCATGGCTAATTTTCTGGGCACTTTGAAACCGAGAGCACGAGCAGCGTAATAAGTGTACATCATCGAGTGGACCAAATAGTTCATGCAAATGTACCACCTCGCCGGTGAAATGTGTTGACCGTAAGTGTACCAAGTGAAGATGAGAACCGTAATGTGATGGTACCAATGAAGAAAGATGAGATTTTGCTTCCTCAGAACAATGAAAATCGTATCACCTAATTCTGGAACCTTGGATAAGGCAAACATCCATGTCCAGAATCCAGAGACTCGAGTAACTTCAACATAACTTGGATTGCAAACAGTGTGATAGAATCCAAAGTTGTTCAATACATGTAACATCTCAGGTACAGTTCTAAAAATAGAGAAGTGGAAATATCATCAGGAAAGTGAAACATTAACAAGTGCTGATTATTAGCAGACAATCAAATGTTCATGACTATGATTAGTACGAGAAACTGTTAGAGGATGAAGATAATGAAGGAAACAGGGGATGATAACAATTTGATAGGAATAGTAATCGATATGAATTTTGTTTTTCAGTGTTCATGCTAAGTTCTGGATAAGATTAGAAATATTTCTCTCTCACTTTCTCTCTCAGCTTTTGATCAATTTGTTTTAGTATAATCATATAGTAGACACAGAGAGAAGCAAAAGAATCATGATAATATTATTAGTAAACAATATCGATTTTCAAAACAGACGATTTCATGATAGTTATCTAATACATTATGATTCTGTTTCATGATATTGAGATTATATGTTTCTGGTCAGATTTCCTTGAATAAATTTCCGATTTCTTGATGAAAGTTTTCATATTTTCTGAGTTCAAGTTTCTTCATGGTTTGTTTACATTCTTAGATTTTGGTTTGTTTTCTTTATGAAAGAACCTTTGTAAATAAAACTAACTGTCGATTCTACTTATCGAACCATTTCGAGTCCATCAATTGTGTTAATGCGAAGAGAGTGAGAGAGAAAATTGATCGAGATGGTTAGTTACCAATATTATTAACTCTCTCTTATTGTGCCTTCCATGTCAATTGATGATTATTATTTAATAATCATTATTATCTGAGACAAGCTGAGTCAGCGCTATGAATACAATACTGGTGTGAGTGAACATGGTATTAACAAGCAACATGGATTGACAATTAAATATTGTGACGCTAAACCAGAAAGTGAGAGAGATGATAAAAGAGTGAGAATGATGAAAGGAAATAATAAAGGAAAAAGAGACTAGCTATATCGAAATCAATATCGAAAATCGATTTAATAAACTATGTGAAAATCATTATGGTAATGGCTCTGGTCTTTGTTTTGATTTCTACACTCGAAAAAGGAGAGAAAAGAAAGAAAGAAAGAAAGAGAAGAGAGAGAGAGAGAGAGAGAGAAGATCTAACATGGAAGTCGTAGCAAACATTGGAAAATAAAAGAATAAAAAATTCAATAAGCTTCCTTGTTTTATCCTATTCTTTTGGTGAAAGAAACTCATCACTCCCGAGACAAGATTGATTACATTTAATCTATCAACAACATGGATTATCACCGTGGAGTCATTGAGATATGAATTATTATGATCACTATCCAATTAAAAAGCTAATCAAATTATAAAACTGAAAATCTGCGTGAAAAAAATGAGAGATGATGGATATAAACACGAAAGTATATAAATATTAGGATGAAGAAGAACCATTAATGTAGATTGATGGAGAGGTTGCAGTTAGTCGAGTTTCTGTTAGTCGACTGACAAAGGAATCATCGCTAATCGAAAAAGGAATAATCATCTGCTTAAGATAATGAAGCACTTTCGATAATTCGAAAGCAAGAAATCTTTTGTAGGCTGAATCTCACTCGATTTCGGATTCACGAGATCTAATTTAGACCAAAATTAGATCATCGACTAGTTAATTTACTCGACTGAGTTTGGAGAAAAGTGGCTTGACTCAAGTGAAAATATTCTCGACTCATTTATCAATCCGAATAACCAAAGACTCCATGATGGAGAAAGAAAAACTAGGGCAGTGAGAGAGAACAGAGATGATGAATTACAGATCAAATGATTTACCTTAATGTTCCAGCAATTGAGAATAAGGCCAATGATAAATTCCAAAGGGTTAAGGTCCTTCTTAATTTGAACGGTGGACGGTTTGACATATAAGCTTGACCACCGAAGACAATCAACATGTAAACAGCGACCCAGTAAAAGGCTTCGTGCCAATGCGTTTGCATCCACTCTCGTTTCTCTCGATACTCGAAAGATTGTTCGAACTTGAATATAAAACTATAATTCGGTGAAATGTGACTCGATTCTTGAATTGATGGTCCATCACCTGGAATAGTGGTTACTGTCGTTGTTGGGTCCATTCTGATGATCTTCTCGATTGATCCAAAATCGTTGCAATTTGTGAATGTTTTCCAATAGCAAAAAAACTGAATCGAATCGAAAAAAGAACAAAAAATAATACAAATAGTTAGATTGTAATCACTTAATTATGGTAAAAGAGATTCACCTTTTCTATCAATGAAAAAAGAGAGAAGATTTTAACTGATTTTTCCAAAAAGGTAGATTTTGATTAAGATAATTAATTAGAACAAAATTAGGAGAATAGAGAGAAAGAGAACTGTAATTGTGGGTGGAATGGTTTATATTCTTTAGACACTAAGCCAAGACACTGATTATTCCTGAGAGAAGACAAGATGGAGGAATTGATGAGAGAGAATTAAAAATAATATCTTGAATTGAGAAGATGATATAGTTGAGAGATGGAGATGATAATAAAGATGAAGATGACGAGAAAAGATAATTATGAGATGATATATTTAAGTAGAAAGATGATTCTTGTTATGTTACTTGTTTTCTCTCCATAAACAGAAACACTGTTACACTTTAATAATTGGTCCAAGAGGATGGAGAAAACGAAGAAATCAAATTAATCATTACCTGGATTCTCTGGTGAAGATAATCAAGAGAATTAAATTTATTGAATGAACATAATTAGAAAGTTTGACAATCGAGAAAAAAAACACAATTGATAATGTTACCGGCACGAAGAGACTCAAGCAACTGATTCTTTTATCCATAAAGAGCATGACTTGATTTCTTTTCTAATTGTAATCATTTAACAAAGAGTTTGCGTTAATTATGATTAATCTCTTAATCGTTTATCATGGAAATTAATTAATTGTCCATTAAATTGCTTGTTGAGTCGCGAACCTTTCCACTTGTGGTTAAACCAGCAATCGGTGGGAATACCGGTTAATCATATCAGAAGAAATCAAATAAACTTGAATTAACTAATTAGATTGTAATTAGAAATAGATATTGTTTACCTTTGATGATTAGGATTATTTAGAGTTGAATTGTTAATTATTGTTGATTTGGAGTAAAAATTATTTATTGTTTTTTATTTGTTCACTTCTTTTCCCCCATTAAAATGATCAATTGATTTTCAATTAACTTTCGCCAATTTATTGATTTTTTTGTTCCTTTGAATTTTCAATGATCGATTGCAGTTTTAATGAACTAAAACTAACCCGATTGATTTTATTATCATTATTGTATCATGATTTAGTTCATCACGAAATGTTTAACTTCTTAATCATTCACCATTAATACTATAATCGTAATAATTAGAACAAAATTAAATGTCAAGGATATTCAACTGTAGTTTATTAATATCAATTGTAGACAATTAAATGATGAAGAAAAAGGGAAATTATTTAGAAACTGAGCATTTCTTTGGGTATTAAGAAACTCCAATTGAGTTTGGCCGATACTCAATCGTCATATTTTAGCATCAAGGTCATTCCGGTCATTCGATCAGGATAAAGTTTCAAGGTCATTTGATGGTCAGAATCAAATTTAAATTTGAATAATGAGGCAGAAAACGAGATAGTAGATTATTAGTTGATTTTTCCAAAGGATTGATTTTAATTATTTTCTTAGTTAATTAGAGTCGATGTTATCTTTTCTCGTCATCTTCATCTTTATTATCATCTCCATCTCTCAACTATATCATCTTCTCAATTCAAGATATTATTTTTAATTCTCTCTCATCAATTCCTCCATCTTGTCTTCTCTCAGGAATAATCAGTGTCTTGGCTTAGTGTCTAAAGAATATAAACCATTCCACCCACAATTACAGTTCTCTTTCTCTCTATTCTCCTAATTTTTGTTCTAATTAATTATCTTAATCAAAATCTACCTTTTTGGAAAAATCAGCTAAAATCTTCTCTCTTTCTTTCATTGATAGAAAAGGTGAATCTCTTTTACCATAATTAAGTGATTACAATCTAACTAAATTATTTGTATTCTTTTGTATTCTTTTTCTCCTTCCAACTAACCATCAAATGACCTTGAAACTTGATTGCAACAGTTTGACTTGGATATTAAAATAAGTAGATAATCCTTGGTGATGATCAATTTTATCGAGGCACAACTTTATCGAGTTTAATTCACCTTCAATTGATGAGAATCGAAGAGCTCAAGTTAAGTGAACTTTTAACTCATTCGATTGACCGACAAGTCGCCAGGTGTCGCCAGGAGCAATCAGATGTTCTGCTCTCTTTCAATGAGAATCCTCATTATCTGTGATAAACTCCTCGCGTTAAATTGTCTCAATTAGCTGATTGGAATTCTTTTTGGAATATAATTTGTAAATTGTCGAGTTTTTATTAATTATTATCCCTGATTTTACAGGGGAACCTGTTGATCAAATTTGTTCCACTATGAGTGAGATGAGTGTCTCTCAACCAAATCTTTCTATTTCCAAAGCAAGTTGTTCTCACGTGGAAGCTTTTAAAACATCTAAACTTGGATTGAAAAATTTTTCTATTATTTTAACTAATTTTGTGGCTACCCTTTCATTGGAGGCCAGAAAGCGTAAATCTCAGGCCATGATATGTTTCAATTGTGGACCCACAAAGTTTCCTATTCGTTTACACGCTTGTCTCGAGTGTATCTATTTTGGTTGTTATCAACATAAACATATCCATGAGCATGCGAAAACAACTAATCACAATCTAGGTTAGTTGATTAACTGTCGACATTTTTCATTTTATTGTTGAACATCAATTAACTACCATCAGTTGACCTTCATCTCTCATGTTCACATTCGATGACAAGTATCACTAATCTAATCCGTTTCTCTTCTTGCCTTTGACAGCCATTGACGTTACCTGGGGATATGTTTATTGTTACCCTTGTCGTGATTACGTTTACGATTCTGATTTAGAAAGAATTTCGAAAAGGAAAAAATTCAAATCAAATAAAGCAACCGGAACATCTTATGCACAGTATTACACTTGGGAACCAACTCACCAGGAGCTTGAAATTCTGAAACAAAACTCTCAACGTAGACGGATTTCAGATAATTCTTACATAGGTTAACTCATTGAGACCATTTTCTTTTTCATTTTTCTCCAATTTCGTGACCATCTGAGACTAATTTTCTTTGTTCTCATTTCCACAGGTTTGAGAGGACTGATTAATTTAGGAAATACGTGTTTCATGAATTGTATTGTTCAAGCTCTTACACACACACCGTTACTTAGAGATTATTTTCTATCAGATAAACATATCTGCCAATTTCGAGATGACCCTTCCATGTGTTTGGTCTGTGAAATGTCAAGACTTTTTCAAGAAGTAATTCAACCTTCTTGTTTATATATTCTCTAAGTTATCTTTTCCTTTCGTTCTATTCCAAGACCAATATCCATTTTCTTTTCTAAATCAAAAGATGTAACAATAACGGTTGTACTTGTCTTCAAATTTTCAGTTCTATTCAGGAAAAAGTACACCTCACATTCCTTTTAAATTATTACATCTTGTATGGACTCACGCCCGTCATCTAGCGGGCTACGAACAGCAGGATGCTCACGAATTTTTTATCGCCACTTTGGATGTTCTTCACCGTCATTGTAAAGGTAGTTCGCTAATCAATACAATTAGAACATTCTCTTTGTTTCCATTATGTGAATATCTAATCATTTCTCTTTCTCTCCCAAGGCTCAAGTGGACCATCTAATAGTAATCCTCACCATTGTTCATGTATAATAGATCAAATTTTCACGGGTAATTTACAATCTGATGTAGTTTGTCAATATTGCAAGTAAGTCGCTTAAATTGGTCAATGAATTTTTGTATTCTAATGACGGGTTAATTTCTCTCTTAATTTTATATTATTCTTTTAGAGGTGTTTCAACGACGATCGATCCTTTTTGGGACATATCATTAGACCTTGGACCTAGTTTACATATGAGGCAGCAACTCGCTGCTTCGTCGACTACTCAAACTTATTGTGACGAATCTGAACCTAAATCACTTCTCGACTGTCTCGAACGTTTTACTCGACCAGAACATTTAGGAAGTTCGGCAAAAATCAAATGTAGTACGTGCCAAATCAATCAAGAGTCAACCAAACAATTATCAATGAAAAAATTACCCATAGTTGCAAGTTTTCATCTTAAGGTATAATTTATTTCTCTCTCTCTCATTAATCTTGACTAAACTCGACTTTTAACCAAGGAAAATGTTTTCCTTGTCTTACTTTTATTTCTTTGTTTAATTTTAAATCTCTTTTATTTCTCAGCGATTTGAACATTCTAATAGGTTTCATAAAAAGATCTCAACTTTTATATCTTTCCCTCAATATCTCGACATGAGTCCTTTCATGGCCTCTCGTCGAGGTTGTAAACCAACAATCGACGCATCTTATGCAAACGGATCACCTCTGAATGAGAACAAGTATGAGTTAGATAATTTTCTCTCCCAAAGAAAATCACCTCGCTTTACTCTCTCTTCAAATTACAGGTACTGTCTCTTTGCGGTGGTCAATCACAGTGGAACCATTGAGACTGGTCACTACACTGCGTATGTGCGTCAACATAAAGACCAGTGGTTCAAATGTGATGATCACATAATAACTCGAGCCAGTGTTCAGGATGTTCTTGATAGCGAAGGGTAAATTGATTGATCCTTTCACTGTAATACAAACGATTCTAATATTGATTCTTATTTTTATTTATCTTTTTTTTTCTAGGTATTTACTTTTCTATCATAAGGAATTTCTAGAATACGAATAATTATTGAATCTTTATTCGTTATTTAGTATTAGCATCATTAAGGTTTTCATCCTTGTGGATTATTTTCAATGATTGCAGACAATTGTGATTGATTCTAATTGCTACTCACCCTATCACCTTTTTTTGGAGCATCTTCTTACTTCGTTGTGATAATCTTTTCATCTCTCACTTTTATTTTGTTCTCATTTTCACTCGAAACATTTCGTGGTCTTTTTTTTGGATATTTTCCATTTATGACTCATGCAAAACAAGAAAAACTCGATTGCTCAAATCTACTTCTTCTTAATTATCTCTTTGCCTGATTTTATTTCGAATTCATACTAATGGACGATCTCGATTCTCTTGTCAAGATGAGGTCTTTCTACTTCATGGATCAGTGAAAAAAGAATAACATTTTTCTATTTGTTTCTATATCTTTCATGGAAAAAGCTTTTGTTTTTCATCAAATTGTTCAACTCGATAATCAACTAATCATCTCGACTAAAGCCCGGTTCAAGATTTCCTTTCATCGAACGACCATTTCCTCCAATATGGTCCCTTGGGTGTGTGACTCCCGTTTAACCCTTTCCCCTTTCAACCTACAAGGTTTAATTTTATTCGTGTATAAAGCCTGGAAAAACTTATCTACTCATAATTAGATCAACTGATCGATTGGTGTTGATCATGGTTGACTTAATCTCGTCGGAAGCTCAAGAAAACAGTCATTCTGTCCATTCCTAATCATCTTTAATTTCCTAACAGCATTAAGGTCACAAATCGACTGACAATTTATTGGCAATACTGTTTTCTTTTCAATTGTGTGATCAAAGAAAATCAATTTAATTATGAATCTCTGCTTCATCTCTTTATCAACATTTTTTTTTACAGTAATTAATTTTTTCCTTTAAACAGTAACCCTAAATCTGTGAACCATAATGCAAACAATTAAACCCGAACCACAAACGGCACAAAACCCAAACCAAATCAAATTTGCTCACGCAAAACAAAACAATAATAAAAAGAGACTAATTATTTATTGAATAAAAAGTAACATTGGTTATTCATTTCATTAGTTAGAATTGCTGAAAGTCATTGAAAACCATTCTGAACACTCAACAACAAAGATTAATAATCAAGTTTTCAAACTCTAAGTGCATTGATAATCAGAATGAAAATCAATTGATAAAATTTTCCTCTTGTAAGTGGACTTCATCAAGGATGACTACTTGTTTAAACCTTTCTCTTAAGTTGCCCGGTTAGCTCAGTCGGTAGAGCATTAGGCTTTTAACCTAAGGGTCCAGGGTTCGAGCCCCTGATCGGGCGAAAACATTTTTTGCATTTTCTTCTCTCAATCAGTTGATTCAGTTAATCGGTTTTCTATTAAAATGCTGATAATCTACAAATGTCATGTTTCTCTCGAATAGTTTTGTCTTAATTTTGTTTTGTTTCTTTTTGAATTCAATTTTTTAAACTTGTCTTCTTTTTCTCTCTTTCGCCATCACTTTTCCCTCTTTCTTTTTTCTTTCTCTTAGTTTTCTTCTTTCTTTTTTCTCTGTCGCTTTTTGTCTTTTCTCTTTTCTTTTCAGTTTATTTTATTTTCTGGCCAAAGTGTTTTCTTTTTCTTGTGATTTTATTTAGTTAGTTTTTCTCTTTATTTTTATCATTAGTAAATCATCACTAATTTGACACAAAGTATGGAGTCTAATTGATTATTTCCTCAGATGATTTTGATGATTGTGACGCCGCTTGTGATTCAATCATTCAACAATTTAATTAGAAAGCAATCACATTTCAACAGCCATGGCTGAAGCTCCTCTTGAATCATGGGAAGATCTGGAGACAGAGAACGAGGTAAACTAAAATTGTCCTTTTCAGTGTTTCCAAAATTGATTATTAATCATCTTGTGTTCTCCAATCTATCTACTCATCACCTTGATTGATCTTTACCTAATTAAGGCCAATCTATGGTCTACTGTTGATTACAGGATGGAATTTATGTTTAACCCTTGCTTGTTTTTAGTGTTTTTCTCTTCATCTCATATCCTGTCAATAGCTTTTTTTTAAATTTCTCTTGTTTAGTTTAATTTTTGTTTTCCTTTTTTAACTTGGATTCGTTTTTCTATTCTTTTTCAGGCCTTACCATCTAAATTAGGTAAAATCAAATTTGATGGAACCTGTGAAGATAAAAAAGGTGTCGACTGTCCATCACAATCTGAAGGTATCACCAAAGGAAAGACTAACAACTTTAGTGGAAATGGTATGAAAATATTACAAAGGCCAACTAATGTTCAGCCTCAATGTTCATCAACTACAACAGCAAAAACAATAATTAATCCACAAATAACACTAGAGGATAATACACGAACCCAATATGTGCCCCAAGTTAGGATACTTCAAAGACCCAAAGGACCTCCACAGGGATCAAAGAATGGTCAAGATGGAGAAAACAAGTCGCCAAGTAAATCCAATGGGTAAGTCTATTTGATAGAATCTTATCAACATGGCGTCAGATTAGTCACATTTTCTCTTGTGTGTGCAAAAAAAACTCTTGTCAAACGTAAATGTGACTAAACCCATGTTATCAACACCAGTTGCATCAATCATGATAAACTTGCCAGAATTGACGCCGGTTTCTCATGATAATATTTTCATGCTCACACTCTCCCTCTAATCGTTAACTATATTTGAATATCTTTCTCTTTCTACTCCTCCTCAGAAACAATTTAATCACGAAAAGCTACCAGGAAAGAGAAGCAGAATATGCGAAAGTACGTTTACGGATTTTAGGAAGCGCTGTTCCAGATTACAAGGACAGTGATCTTGTTCCATCAGCTTCACTTTCATTTGCAAGTTCTACTTCTACTTCTACTTCTAACACTGTTGTCACTAATTCTAGACAAGCTAATGGTGATATTTCATCTCAAGCGAGTGGAAGTAAATCATCATGTGAATTGCCAGTTGTACGATTTCCTCAAGGACCTGATGGATCAAAAGGTTTTTCCTCTCGAAGGTAGCACTGCTCATTCTCAATGAAAAGAAAAAAAAACTCTACCTCTTCGTCCTTTTGTTTTCTCCATCTCTCTCTCTCTCTCTCTCTCTCTCTCTTTCTCTCTGTTACTTATTATTCTGCCAAAATGAACCAACTAATTCCAAATATTACTACAGGCGAAAGGCAAAAGTGTATAACCCTTCATCTAAATTGCGTGATAATTACTAAACTTGATCACAATTTAGGTTTAACCATTGATAACGACAACCAAACAACAATCATCACCAGACCAATTCCCTCATATACTAACCTAAAAATAACCAACTAAGGACGACAAAAGACTATGGCCACTACTAAATGTGCTATTTTTCATTTTCAAAACAAAAAACGATAATTTTGTAAAACAGAGAGATTAAGAAGTTGGATAATAATCAAAAACCGTTAGAAAAAAACCAAAAGAAACACAATTTGTATTGACATGTCAGAAAAAAAGGTTAACCTGTCGAGTTAATTGTCACAATTGGTATCGCTTATATTTAAAACTGAAAAGATTCAATTCGGGTCATTCTCCTCTGTTGTACATAAAACAATTTCCCTCTCGCGAACAGTGAACAATTAATTACTAATAAAGGACAATTATTAACAAAATTAAACCATTAAGATGATTAAATGGTTTCTTTCGTGAGAATAGCAATCAAAGTCTATTCTCACTCACATTTTCGTGGGAATTAAACTTATGTTGTTTTCTTGGTTAAAGAAAACAAAACCAGGACTTGATCCCCTTTCTGGTTCCTTAGGCTCAACCGGTAAAGTAAATCTGTCATTTCAATGTTTCCAAAGTTGATTATTAATCATTTTGTGTTCTCCAATCTATCTAATCACCACCTTGATTGATCTTCTCCTGATTAAGGCCAATCTATGGTCCACTGTTGATTACAAGATGGAATTTGTGTTTAACCCTTGCTTGTTGTTTTCTTCCTTCTTGTTTTGTGTTTTTCTCTTCATATATTCTGTCAATAGCTTTTTCTTTTACAATTATTATTCTTCTTCTGTTTGATTTAGTTATTGAGTTTCTATTCTCTTTTTTGTTTAATTTCAATTTGTCTATTCTCTTTCAGGCCTTACCATCTAAATTGGGTGAAATCTAATTTGATGAACTCGGTTAATTATGCAAAGGCTAATGGATAATAGTGAGAACAGTTCAAGTGAAGAAATTATTTATGATAAACTGAGAGATTTGTACAACCTGATTGAACAATGTCACGAGGAGAGGAATAAAAGTGAGATGAATTTATCGAGCATAAGGAAGACCCACGAAAAGATGCAAAATGAACCTCAAAAGCCTTACTTTAAACAGAAATTGAAAAGTCTTTACAAAGGTGCGATCTCAGATTGTGATGGTGAAATTGAAATTCTATCTAAATCATTAGATCAGATATTTGAAATACGAACTTTAATCAAGAAACGTCCTCGTAAGAGTGGCCTTAGTCTGTTTACCAAGGAAACATCAATCAGAAGAGGAGCTTTAATGAAGATGTTACAACAAAGTGCATTAACTTTACCCTTATTCATCCGTCGAAACAAGGAGGGAAAAACACCGCCACTTTGTGGCTCTATTCCAGCTGAACCCAATTACGTTGGGAAAGTCGGCGATATGGTCGCAGCTCTAGTTAAAGGTCCAGATGATGATGAAAACTGGATCTTGGCGGAAATTGTTTCCTACAATTCAAACACCAACAAATACGAGATCGATGATATTGATGAAGAGCAAAAGGAGAGACACACACTTTCCCGTCGACGGGTAATTCCACTTCCACTGATGAGAGCTAATCCAGAAACAGATCAAGAAGCTCTGTTTGAAAAAGGAACCTTAATCCTTGCTTTATATCCTCAGACTACTTGTTTCTATCGGGCGATAGTCCAAGAACCACCAAAAACAGCGCAAGAAGAATATCAAGTTTTATTTGAAGATTCGAGTTACCCTGATGGTTATTCCCCTGCCCTCTCTGTACCTCAGCGTTATGTTATTGTTTCCAAAGATTTGCGGCGAAAATGATACCAATCACAAGCGAACAACCAAAATAAATCATCCTCATCACTCTCATCATCACACTAATCATCCACTTCTCCGTTATCGTCATTCATCATCTGCAATCCTTTATTATCTTAACGTACAAAACAAATTCTTGCCTATTCTCGATCCATCGATCTCTCTTTCATCTCATCATCCAAGAATCACCGCTAATGTCCAACAATTGGGCAATATTCAGAAAAGAAAATCACTTCTATCTCACCTCATCATCTCATCACTTCATCACTTAATCATATCCTGTAATCATCAATATATTTAAATTATGATAAAAATGAAGACCCTCATCAATCCCATTCATCACCCAAACCTTTTATTTTATTTGCATAGAAAGTTATTGTAAGATTGGGGATAAAACCTGTTGGAAAAAATTGTTTTTAATTATTCCCCATTTAAAAAAGTAATTAAATTAAATCAGTTTTCTAAACTGAGCAAAATTCATTTTAAACAATCTTATTTTTTTCATCTTCTTTTAAAATTAGAAAGTAAAATGGCTCCAATTGAGAAAACCAATTCTTAAAATTTGATCTTCTCAAAATCTAACCAATACAATCATTTATTGATTCTAAAATTTATGAAAATTTCTCTTTCAATAATTGAAGAACTCGTTAATTGTGATCACTTAATCAGCAAAGAATAGAAATTAAATCTCCAAAGAATTAGATTAGTGTGTTGAATAGTCGATCAGCTGTGATTCGATTCACATGTTTGGATTGTTTATCTTTTTAAATGTAAACAATCAATCGACTCGAGTGATTAAGTTTGATCATCGTGAGATACAAAAGTTAATCATGTTTATCTGATAACAATTAAAAGATCATTAAAGTTGATAGACTGATTAAAAATAATCGATGATGTTTGTATTTTGTTTTTTTCTCTCATAGGATATTAGTTAATTTGGATGTTCAACTTTAACTGAATTAAAATCGAACTCATTTCAAGACAAAAATTCAGAACTTTTTCTGATTTCTGGTTAATAATAATAATTTGGAGATTTATTATATTCCAGTTAATTTATTCAACTCGTTGAATCAGCAACGTTATTCTTGTTTAAACGATCATAATTAAGTCACGAAAAAATGAAAATCTTTCAACAATTTTTGTCAACCCAAATCGTTTACAATCAATGGAAATTAAAGTCTAAATCATCATAGAATCAGAATTAGGTAAGTGACTAAATTAAATCGAAATAAATTGAATAAATTTTTTTTCTTGCTAATCAGTGGTTCGTTATTCCTGCAAAACTGATGATTAAACAATTAAATTGTTCGTCCGCCCGAAACTCAACTTGAGAGATGATTTTTAGACGATGTCGTTTTGTTAGAAGAGTTTTGATAACGATGTTTAATTTGATTCCAATTAGTAGGATTTTAGTAAGTCAATTGATTGCTGGAAATCATCAATGGTGTTTATTACATTATTGATACTTAATTTGTTTATTATTACTTAATATTATGATGATGGGAGAGAAAGAGAGAGATTGAAAATCTGTTATGATTGATTAGGTAGGAATTAATTTGATTCAATGAATTTGTATACTTACCAAAGGTTCAAATTCTTTCTCTGAACCAGATCAAGTTCTGTGACAAAATAATCAAAGTGCTTGTAACATGAACAACTAGCAATTAACATGAGCTTCCGCATCGATGGCTACCAAACGGTCAAATTGATGAATACACATGGACGAGGACGTTTTTCAGAAGAATTTTAATCATAAATCACTAAATTGTCTCAATTACAATCGGAATTGATGACCAGTAATCTATCCATCGGTTTGATTTCAGTTTCGATCTCAATTTCGTTGCCATCCAAAGTTTGATGATTTCAAATTCGCGCGTTTTTTCAATTATTTCGACCAATGAGATCAATTTGTTTACTTTTCATTTCGTTCAAATATTAATCAAGTTTAATTGTTTTGTGATGATTTCTAATTGTATAAATTACCCACTTTAAATTATTTCCATGAGTCTCATTATCGGAGGTTCTATTGTAGCCTATTGTTGATCTTTTAATCAACAAACGAATTTGGATTGACCACAATCTTAAAAACTGATTAGTTCTTCCTCTTTTACTCAAGGCCTGTTTTCTTTTTTTAATTTTATTCTATTTTCTGATTTTAATTGTGTTCATCTTTCTTCTAGTGTTTCCATTTCCAATTTGTAGGCCCGCCAAGTTTTCTAGATCTTCATTTGTAGTCTAATCAATTCCTTCACTGTTGGTGTTTGTTTTTATTTTCTGGTATGGAAAAAGCAACGAAAAAAATTGATTCCAATTCAAGTGATTCTTGTGATGTTGATCTTTCGGTTATCCCCTTAAGAGCCTTACGAATGAAAAGTCGCACCTTATTGTCGAAATGTTTGAATGCTATTCAAATAATTCCAGCAGAATCTGGTTTACCTCGAGATTATCGAGGTATCGCTGATCTATTCGGACTTGATAATCCACTCGTGTCAACAATTGAAAGAAGTGAAGATCCAGTTAAGATGATTTTAGAAAATGTTGAAAAAGAATTGAAACTTGACCAATTAACTGGACAAAAGACTCCATATTCTATAAACGATTTGATTGAACATTTAGAGTCCATTGAGCGATTTGATGTGATTGATGATTGTCAAGAATTCTTTATCGAAGATGGAAAATTCTTTGTCAATAAGATGAACAAACTTTCTTGCAAAGGTAATTAAGATTTTTCCATTTATTAATATCTCAATCTTTTAAACTCAATTAAACTTAATCGAATTTAATTTTTTTTTCTTTAGGAATCAAAAGTGATTCATTATCTATCTTTGAAAATCGTGATTCAAATGAAGAGGATGTTCATTATGACGCTTATGTTTGTTATGCTGACGAAGATTTAGATTTTGTTACCTTTCTTTCTGAATACTTGGAATCTCAACAAATTGGGTTACGATTGTTCATCCGTGATCGTGATCTACTTCTTGGTACAATGAGATACGACGCTTACACCAAATTGATTGAAAAAAGGTGTAACTATGTGATAATCATATTAACACCGGATTTCGTTGAATCTGAAGAGTGTAAATATCAAACTCTTTTCGCTACCGATTTAGCAATTCAAGAAAGAGAGAGAAAATTAATTCCAATCATTTGGAGACCTTGCAATATTCCTCCGTTTGTCCGATTAATGTCTAAAATTGATTTCTCTCGACGAGACTCTAAATGGGAATGGATTTGGAGAAAATTGATTTTTTCAATCAGCTCCAAACCGATGATGTTAACATCTCCACCCAGTTATCCTTCAATTGGTTACAATAATGTTCCTCAAAAGATTTGTTCATCAAATGGTCACAACAATCAACTTAAACAAAATTCCTTTCAAGCTCAACAGAATAAACAATTAGCAATTCCATTTAAATCAATGTCAATCAATGGAGCCGAAGATATTAAAAGTAAAACAAGTTCAAAGGAAATCTCAATATTGGAATCTCTTCCACCAGTACCGACTGGCTCGATAGTTAATTCTAGTAAACATGTTTGCGAATCAATTGATTCTGGTCGAGCTGAATCAATTGGTCTCAAATCATCAACAAGCCATCAATCAACAATAAAGACAATTAAGACACATGGAAACAATTGGTTTCGATCATTCAAACAAAAATTAACTGGATTAGGCTCTTCTGAACCTTCAACCAATGGTTACAATAATCTCACCAATAGTGATTACAATGATTCTAAATGATTGTTAATAGATTAGACAAGTGTCAAAAGACTGATTGTTTATACTCTTTTCTAATTGTTCATATTATTTTCTATTGTTTGTATAAAATTTACTACGCATTTTCTATTGAAAATTTCTAATTGACTTGAAGACATGAATTAACTAAGATCTTCCAATTGATATCGATTGTTAATACAAGATAATTTATTCAAAATCGATGATTATCCGGTGACTTGATGCTTGTCCAAAACAATTAATTATATTTAGTTAAATTTGTTGAATTTGTTGAATTTGCATAAAATGCTTATTCAGGATGAGAGTTAAATGGAAGACCTTGTTTTTACATAGAAAAATATGTTGATTAGTTGGTAACAATTAAAAATATTCTCTATCGCGTCGATTGTAAACTGTTATTCAAACAACCTTTTAATTAGTCTTTAGAAAACTTGATATTATTTGTTCAGAATATTTTTAAACAATCAGATACGTTGAACGGGCATTTAAGGTGAAATAGACGGATGAATGTTTTATACAGTTTTCGTTAGTTAATCATCTCAATTGGTTCCAAGTTAATTTAACACAATATTAGTCTCATCATGAATTTCAGAAAGATATCAACATCCATGCTAGTATTTTTAACTATTTTTGTGATTTCAAATATTACTTGTTCAGGTAAGTCGATAATTTTGTAAAAATTATTCTTTTAAGTTCACCGAAAAGTTTCCATTGTTTCTGATTGTACATGAACAAAGTTCAGCTCTTCATCTGCGAGAAATAATGAAATCTAAAGCTTACAATGTAATAGTCCAATTCAAAAAATATCTCGTTAAGGGTAAAAGTTTTATAAACGAAACTTAAAAAGTGAACTGGCAATTTGATTTTCTTTTTGAGTCTCTGATTTCCGTGCGAATTATTATTATTATTAATATTTCGAAAGTATTAATAAATCTGTCAATTGTACGTAATCACCCTGTACATTAATAGCAATGATGAAGAGATGAACTTTTTTCAATAAAAATCTGATTCAAAGAAATCTCAAGTTTTAAAGAGCTCATATCAATTTCCATCAATTTCGATATTCACAGATGGACCATTTGGAAACGTTGCTAATAATGTCAATGCTTGGGTTTCACGCCCCGATCATTTCCTAGAATCAGCAGAAATTCCAACCAGTAATGCAGCTGATTCTCTATTGGACGGTGGCAATAATTTCAAAAGTGAAAAAGCTTCTTAGTTTCGCGAAAAATCAATCACTTAAAATCGATTATGATCATATTTTTTGAAATCGAAATAATTTATTTAAATTTTCCGTGAGAATAAAAATATCTGATTGTTAGAAATTAGAAAAGTTTGTTATTTTCTCAATCTAAAATTCTTACAAATTTGACAAACGATTCAAAGATTAGAAAATAAAACAAGAATTTAAGAACAGTCACAATCATCGCATTTAACCCACAAGCAAAGTGGCACTCGAATTAAAAACGTGAAAAATCTGAGACTCTGAAATCTCTTCCATCAGCACCGATAGGCTCGATTACGAGGTACATCTTCAGTATCATTGTTTCAATTTCATGACATCAAATTTTTCAAGTCAATTAGAGTAAAAATCATAGTTCTGTCGGTTAGTTACCAAATATTAGCATTCATAAGAGTTTTTCTGATATGAAAATTTTGGTAATCAATTTTTTTATTTCAGAGAAAAAAATGGATAATGTACTCTGGTGATTTAAGTCCAATAGTTTCATAGAAAAGTGTAAGTTCCAATATCGATTCATTTGTTAAGATTGACTTGATGATTTGTTTACTATGCTTGAATTTTCTCAATCTCCTGATTTATTGATTTGTTTCTCCAATCACATTGAACATCATCTAGATGGTTATCGAAATCCTCCAATCTCAAATGTACTTGTTTCTTTACGACTAAATTACGAATCACCTCCAACGAAACTTCTGGCTTTTCAATAGAGCCACTGAAAGAAAAAATGAAGATGCAATTTCAATCATCATATTGTTGATCAAAAAACGAAGATAGTTGCCTTACTTTGATTTGTTTTTCCATTTATTTTCAATGAAATGATAAACATGCAAAGTATTATTTATTTCACTAGGATCCTCAAAGTCTTTGTTGAAATTAATTCCAAAGCTATTGACCTAAGGTAAAAATGAAATTACAATTAATACTAACAATTGCTAAAGTACAAGTGATCAACTAACCATTAAAATGATCGCATCATTGTTGTTTTCCCAAATTTTCTCACCAATTTTAGAAGCAAAAAAGTCCGGTGATGAATCATAATAATCTTTGTTGGCTTGATAATAACCAGCAATAGTTAAATTTACCTCACTGCAATAACTAGCAACCTGTTTCAATGAAAAAAAAGATAAAGAATAAGGAGAAAACAAAACAAAAGAGGAAGAGTGATTAGTGCAATTAACTAAATTAGAGCAAACCGTTAATCAACTGAACGAACCTGAAGCAAAGCAATTTCCATGCAAGGTGTTAATCCATGGGCCATATGAAACAACGGAATACAATCGACAATATAATAATAACTAGATTTATCCTTTTTGGTTCTTTTCTCGCCCAAAAGAACACCATTAATTGTATAATAAGGATATTTCAATGAATGCATCATGATTTTGGCGAAACAACGAGTTGAAATTTGATAATCCATTTGATACAAGATAATGTAGAAAGACTTGGAACGTAATTAAGATGTTCAATTAAAGAAGAATTTGCTTTTACAAACAAAAGTTAATAAACTCTGGAGGTTTTTAATTCTAATAAGTAATTAAATCACTTGAAATGATCAATTTAAAATTGTAAACATTGTGAATCCATTTAAATGCTAAGCAAATGTCAATCTTTTTCTTGGATGAATTTGATTGGATGTTTGGTTGATCGAAGCGCTTTTTTCAATTTACAAAATCGCTGAGATTGATTTTCTATTTTCGATCGATATTTGATTGATTGTTGCACCTTTTAAAGTTTTTTTGAGACGATTATGTTAATGATTAATTGACTTTCGAAATTTTTAATTAGTACAACGTAAATTTTCACAGATAAATTTTACATTTTTCTATTTATATGAAGGGATTTAATGACGTTAATATTGGTTTTGTTTGTCGAAAGGTTTTTGTCAATTCAATTAATTTTTATATTTTGTCCTGTAATCTTGTATTGCTGCTTTAATTGCATCTTCAGCGAGCATTGAACAATGTAATTTAACGGGTGGAAGTTTAAGTTCATTGGCAATCATTGTGTTTTTAATCTCTGCTGCTTCATCAAGAGATTTACCTTTAATCATTTCGGTTGCCAAGGAAGACGAGGCAATGGCTGAGGCACAGCCGAAAGTCTTGAATCGAGCATCAACAATATTACCATCAACATCAACTTTAATTTGCAGCTTAAGAACATCACCACAAGCAGGAGCACCAACTAATCCAGTTCCAATTTGATCCTCATCCTTTTTAAACGATCCGACGTTCGAAGGATTTTCATAATGATCCATAACCTTTTGGTCATAATTACGTTTTCCCATATATTGGACAGAAGGTGAGACCAAACGATTAATTTGACGATACATGATTAGCTCAGGCTGAAAACACGGATAATATAAGAGAATTAGCAATTAATTGAACGAGGAAACAAAATAAACACAATTAGTTAACTTGATTAAATTCAATGAGATGAGAAAATGTCAACAAATTTTGTTGATAAAACGGTTAACCGATATTGAAGAGACTCAATTCCAGATAGAAAATATCAAGTCCTTGGAGAATATTTAACTCGTTTAAGGTTTTCTAATCTGTTCTATTGACCTTGAGATGATTTTGTAAACACCTGAATCAGTGCAGAAGTGAATGGATTAGTAAATTGCCTAAATTAATTAATTCTTCATGTTAATTAGTTAATTGCGACTTGGACTCGTTCGTAAATATCGATATCGGTTTATAGAATTAGATATTTTCTCTTGCGCCATCTGGTGTTCGGTTGTGAGATATTCTGATCAAAGATCACAAAAGTCAGAGAAATGATTGATTGTGATTGTTATTGATTATTGATTAATTTCAAGATGATTTAATTGTTTGTAGTTTTTTTATAGTTTAATAAATCTTTGAGTATTGAACCTGTGCGACTGGTTCCTTGTCATTTGTCGGAGCTGTTTTGGTGGACACAATTAAAATGAATGTCAACCTGGAATTATTGTTCATTTGTCTTTGCTTATTTTTGGTAATTAATGTTACCACCGGTGTTAATAATAATAATGGTGATGATGGCAACGTGTTGACCAGCCATTCATCATCTAAATCAGCTAAATCTGTGACAATATCTTTATTTAGTAAATGGAATCAGACTTGCCTCTTCTCGGAGACAAGTGAATATCTATGGGAGGAATCACATAACATTTTCTGGACATTTTTGGAAACATTAACAAATCATCCAGTTGCGGATAATTATATTACCACATCAACCTTTCAAGATGATTATGAAAGAATCCTTCAGCTTACTTTGCCTCTTTTGTCACCATCAAAAAAGTCAATCCTTAAGTTTAGTCTCTCTCTACGTTCACATTCACCCACGGTGGAAATGTTCAACCAAATCTCCAAAGACAAAAGGATTGACTTGGGTTTAGATTCTGTAGATGGTGAAACTGAATCAACTGCAGTCACTGATGGTGGTCAATATTGTCCTACCTTTGTTGAATTTTCTCAACCCTCATCCCAAATTGACATCCCATTTGCTTGTGATATTGACTCAGCTAAAAGCACCTTGGCTCAATTATTATCTACTCAAAAGGAAACTTCTTTCATTCATCCATTAATTTATAAATCCGATCATATCCATCCCAGAAGCTCATCACAAGCTAATCACATCACTGCCATAATCTATGGTCACTTTCCAAGCTCATCGTTTTCTAATTTGTACAAATTTTTAAAATCTCAGGTTATTGGTAAGATGATTTTCCAATCACTTTTCTTGTCTCGCCACTTTTATCTTATGCCTCAAGTAATTATCAAATTTTCATTCTCATTTGCACAACAGAAACGGGGAGAATCAAATTATTAGTTAGACATTACATTCCATCTGTTAAACCCGGTAAAGTTTCACTCTCAGGTTATGGTGTTGAATTAGCAATTAAAAGTACTGAATATAAAGCTCAAGATGATACTCGAGTCAAAGGAGAGGTCAGTTCAACGACTGCTGCTTTGGCTTCATCGTCCGATGGTCGACCCAATGAACTCGAAGGTTTTGACTTTTCTACTCTGAAAAAATCTTACCCTGAAGACGCTGGTAAACTGGATGAATTTCAAACTCATCTTATGGAAACAATGAAAGAAATTGCAACTCTCAAAGTCTGGGAACTTCAAGATATGAGTTTACAGGCTGCAAAGAAGATATTAACTTCACCCAAAGAAGATCAACTGCGATTATTAAGAGATATTGCACAAAATTTTCCTTCTCTTTCTCGAACATTGATTAATATTCCGGTTGACAACGATCTTAAAAAAGAAGTTGAAAGAAATCAACACGTTTTTATGCATCATCTTAATCTTGGTACCGCAGATTCAGCTCTCTTTGTCAATGGAATGTTTTTTGACATGGATTCGACTGATATATTTACACTTCTTCACTATTTGAAGAAAGAAGTCAAACTTATTGAAGGACTTCACAAAGTCGTTGGTCAAGATGAGCAGAAAATCAAGAAATTGATTAAATTGGATGTGACTGATGAGAAACAAGAATATCAAATTGACATCAGAGATTCAGCTGTGATGTATGTTAATGATATTGAAAATGACAAAATGTATCGTAGTTGGTCATCGAGTTTACAAGACATGTTAAGGCCAACTTATCCTGGAATGTTACGAAATGTAAGGAAAAACATGTATCATCTCGTGTTAATAATTGATCCAAGCAAAAAGGAATCATTTGATACAATTAAATTGGCCGAATCGTTTTACCTTCACAAAGCACCACTTCGAATTGGATTTGTATTTGCTGTTAATCGAAACATGTCAATCAATGGTTTAAATGACCCAGGAGTTGGTCTTCTCAACGCTTTCAACTACATTGCCGAAGATAAAACTCCATATGATGGACTTTCTTTCATTACTGATGTTATTGCTTCAGTTAGTGGAAAAGAGGCTGAAGTTAAAGACTTGACCAGTGAAAATGTTATCAACCTATTTAAGGCCAAATATCCTAAAGCCGATCTTGATTTAGTGTTTGGCTCGGATTCTGGTTATGATACTGGACGCAAATTGGCCTGGGATTATTTACAAAGAACTGGTCTGTCCTCCCCAATGAAAGCTTTAATGAATGGAGTTGTTTTGAAACAAGTAAGACTTTTTTTCTTTAACTAATTATTATTTTATAATTGAGATTAATTTGATCCATTTACTTTGTTAGAATCATCTCAATTCTGAACTTTTCGAGGAAGCCGTTCTTACGGAAATAATGAGACAAACGCCCACCATTCAGAAAGCAGTTTACAAAGGTGAACTTACTGATTCCAAAGATGTTCTTGATTGGTTAATGTCTCAAAAAACGGTGATGCCAAGACTTAATCAACGAATTCTTGGTAATCGTGGTAAGATTATTGATCTTGTTCCCGATGAGACAATTATCCCTTCTAGTGATGGAAATGATGTCATTCCTAGTACTTTAAATGCAAACAATTTCCAAGCTTTAATTAAATATATTACCAGTAGTGAGAAACGTTGCTCACCAATCACAATTTGGATCGCTGGTGATTACGAGAAAAAGGAAGGAAGAAGAATCTTATTATCTGCTTTATCGTATCTTCGATCACACAATCAACATATGAGACTCGGTATAATCTACAGTAATCCAGGATTAGTCTCTCAAACAATAGAAGCTGCTTTGAGTACAATTAAAGACTCCAAATCAACACTCTCATTTTTAATCAAGTATCTGGTTGAGATTGAACATGATACAAGCCTTGACAACATTTTGAACGCTCATGAACTGATTCCCTCTTCAGTTAAATCTGATTTTGATGAAGTTTTCAAAAATATTCAACTGGATACAACTTTATTCAATCTACACCAAGAGTTTGTTTCCACCCATCTTGAACTCGATGAATCTAAAATTGGAATTGTGGTTAATGGTCGAATCATTGACATTCCAAGTAATGAATCATTCATCGAGGATGATTTTAGTCTCGTTGAAAGACACGGAATGTTAACATTTGGTACAAAAATACTCGAAGTTTTAAGTTCAAGCGATAAATCAGATTCTCAGCTTTGCAGTAATCTCGTTATGAAGATAAGTAACGTTTTATCTTCATCGGCTATAACTAAAATACGACATGATCTTCAAAACTTTGGATCAGATCATAGTGCAATCATTTTACCCGCATCAGCACCCGAACTCCCGTCGTTAGATGTCACAGCCATCATTGAACCTCTTTCTCGAGGTGCTCAGAAATTGGCACCTATTTTAATGACTCTTCAAAAGGTTTTCAATCTTAATATGAAAGTTTACCTTAATTGTATTGAGAAACATTCTGATATGCCTTTGAAAAATTATTTCCGTTACGTGATTGACAATGAGATGCATTTCGCTGATACCCAAGGATCGAAGTTACTGAATACCGATGCGTTTTTTGGTAACATGCCCTTGTCACCTTTATTTACTCTTGGAATGATAACTCCCGAAAATTGGTTAGTTGAAAGTGTCACATCTCCATATGATTTGGATAATATTCATTTAGAAGAAATCGATGGTCCAGGAGCTTGGGCTGATTTCGAACTTGAATATTTGCTATTAGAAGGTCATTGTTTTGAACAGTCGACTGGTAATCCACCTCGTGGTTTACAGTTTGTTTTAGGATCTAAAAGTGATCCCAATGTCGCTGATACAATCGTCATGGCAAATCTTGGTTATTTCCAACTAAAAGCTAATCCTGGTGCATGGGCCTTACGATTGAGACCTGGAAGAAGTGACGATATTTACTCGATTGTTAGTCATGAAAATACCGACCCTGTTTCCGACAGTTCAAATGTAATCATTTTGATTTCTAGTTTCCAAAGTAACGTTGTTAAAATCAGAGTTAATAAGAAGGCAGATAAACAAAATGAAGAATTGCTTTATGAGGATGGAGAAGAAGATGAAAATAGTATTTGGGGGTCCATTAGTTCATGGACTGGAGGATCTAAGAAAAAATCAGCTAATGGTGTCCAAGAAAAGGAAACTGAACGATTGAACATTTTCTCACTTGCCTCTGGTCATCTTTACGAAAGACTCCTTCGGATTATGATGACAAGTGTAATTAAACATACGAAAACGCCGGTCAAGTTTTGGTTCCTTAAGAATTATCTTTCACCAACATTCAAAGATTTTCTTCCCTTTATGGCGGAAAAATATGGATTCGAGTACGAACTAGTCCAATACAAATGGCCACGTTGGTTACACCAACAAACAGAAAAGCAAAGAATCATTTGGGGATATAAGATTCTCTTTCTTGATGTCCTTTTCCCGTTAGATGTCAAGAAGATCATTTTCGTTGACGCTGATCAAGTTGTTCGAGTTGATCTCACAGAGCTTCGTGATTTAGATTTAGAAGGTGCACCTTACGGTTACACACCTTTCTGTGATAATCGTGAAGATATGGATGGTTTCCGGTTCTGGAAAACTGGTTACTGGGCAAACCATTTACACGGACGAAAGTACCACATTTCCGCCTTATATGTTGTCGATCTTCAAAGATTCCGTCGCATTGCTGCCGGTGACAGATTACGAGGACAATATCAAGGTTTAAGTCAAGATCCTAATAGTTTAAGTAATTTAGATCAAGATTTACCGAACAACATGATTCACCAGGTATTTATGATCGATTTAATTTTATTGAAAATAAATGAATCCTTAATATTTACTAATGGAAAATATTTCTCATTTTCTCAGGTTCCAATTAAATCTCTACCTCAAGAATGGCTTTGGTGTGAAACTTGGTGTGATGAAAACTCAAAATCTAAAGCAAAGACTATCGATTTGTGTAATAATCCTAAAACTAAAGAGCCCAAATTAACAGCCGCCAGAAGGATTTTACCTGAATGGGAAGCTTACGACAATGAGATTAAAGAATTGATGAAAGAGTATGAAACAATTAAAAATCCATCATCATCATCACCTCCAGAGATTGAAGTTGAAAGTAAACCAACATCGAAACCACGAATGCCCGGACCTGAGAAACAATCAGATCAAATTAATGATTCACCCGCACATTCAGAATTATAATGGAATAAATTATTTTGTATAAATATTATCAAGAAAAACGAAACAATCAACTGATTGTAAGTGACTTAAATTGGGTAATTGCGAATGGTCAACTTTTGAAACCTGTCAACAACAAGTAACTTTGATAATTTTTCCACCATCCTGGTGACATTGTATTGCCAAAAAGAAAGGATGAATTGTGTAAATTAATTAATCACGATTAATTTTTAATCCATTTTCCTATAAATGTTATAATTTAACAAACAAAGCCCATGGAAATATCAAGAGGATATTAATTGTTAATCAAATTACAAGTTGGTTGAACTTTACTCTTCGTTCAAGTAAATCACTCAGAGACTATTCGCTGATAAGTTTAGTTTACCTTGATTGTCTATCGGAATCAAATTACATTCAAATTAAGAAAATGAAGATTCTGTTAAATTCTTAATATAAACAGATAACATGACAATTCTTGAGGGGATTAATTTAATCCTCGAAATCAATTCCAAACTGATTAACTATATTCATCTTACAAGAGAAAAAGAAATGAAAAAAATTGTATAAGAAAAAGGAGAAAAATCTTCTATTGACAACAGAATTATCTCAATATTTACTTTCTCTGTTTCTCTCTCTCTTTGAGAAACAAAAAAGTCATTGAGAACAATTGAGTTGAATGAATGAAGATGCTGACGAAGATGAAAATGTTCAATCTCGTAAGAAATTTAGTACCATTGTTGTTTGTTTGACTATTTAACTTTGCCTGTCAAAAGATGATAATATTGTGAGGATGTAGATTCAGGCAGGATTTACCTGTTAAATTTATGATGGAAAAGACTTCAGGTAAAAGAGAAGGATGAAAATGCAGCTTAAGATGGAGATGATGAAGATGAGAGAGAGAGAGAAAGAATTGTATTGATAAAAAATGTACATCAAACGAATATAAGATAAAGAGAGCAAATTGACGTCACAGGAAGAGAGAGAGAGAGAGAGAGAGAGAGAGAGAGAGAGAGAGAGAGATGATGATGATGATGATGATGAAAATGATAAGGAAATGGATAAAAGTGGAAGATGCTGTTCACCTATAAAATGATGACGAAGATGATGATGATATGGCTTAAAAATAGTTCACATGGATCGATATAATGGCCAAGGCGGAAGAAGAGAGAAAGAAAATCTTGTTCTCTGGTAAATTAACTCGTTCACAATTAACTAACCACATGGAAAATGAGAAAGAAGATGCAGAGGATGAGGGGAAAAAGAGAATAGAAGATGAAGGAAAATAGGAATGATGAGTAACAAATGAAGAAGAAGAAGAAGATGATGATGATGATGATAAGCTTGGAGATAGTTTTCCATGTTAAAAGGTAACTCAGATTCGAGGAAGAAGAAAAGATTCTGTTGCTGAAGAAGAAATAGTCGAGAAAGAAATTGTAACCATGTTTATGTTTTTCGAGCTTTAATTCTAATCGTTGAACATTATCTTCTTCGGGTGAGTTTATGTTTTCGATACAAATCACTCGAAGGAATCTCACACAATTAAATTATCATCAATAATCTTAAAGAATCTTTTACTCGAACCTCATTTTCCCTGAAAAAAAAGTAGTAACAATAATCTTTCAAGTGTAATCATCATTGATTTTAATCTTTAGTTATTTTGGTGACATCAATAAACAGTTTTCTTTTCTTCATCCTCATCATCATGTAAACAACGAATGACATTCACATTTGTATCTAGTGTAAAGTAACACCGAGTGAGAGAGTATTGAAGACAGATAGATAGAGAGAGAAGATAAATACAGACAGAGACTCTGGTTACTTTCACCTACATGATGATGATGTACATGATGTGATATATTAAATTCATCAATTCCCTTTCATGTTGCTTCAATTATTATTATTATTGTGAAAAGAGAACATGATAAATATGATATTATCCATGATCTATTTATTTCCTCATTTCTCATTTGGCTGAATTTTCATCATTCTCGTTTAATTGTTGTTTACATCGGAAAAGCTTCTGAAAACAACTCAACTGATTCCCTTTAAATTATCATTATTATTTTTCTTATTCTTTTCTGTGATAACATAATCATTCACCATCATCACTCTCATCATGCTGACAGGGGAAATCGAATCCACCTTGAGAAGGTTGATTAAAATATTTTCTTCTCTTCCTTCAATGACCTGGAATTAGAGTGAAAATTAAAATTCATCAATGAATCTATGGGATTCCTCGTCTTTGGAATCCTTATTTACAATTTATTCTTGAAATGCTTTCAACATTTTCGGTGTTTTAATTTGTTGATTGTGCTTCAATTAAATCGTTTTTTCCTCCCAAATCATCAACATAATCAACATTTTGTATATCCAAATTTTAAGGATTAATCTCATTTCAGTTTATCTCAATTACTGCAATAATTTTCTGGTGTTATTTTTTCCTCCTTCACTTCAAGTGCCTATCAGTTGAAATCTGATCATCTTTTCAATTTGAAATCTCCATTTTCTTGAAAAGTAACAAGAAATACAAAATGAATCAATTAACAACAATTAAATCAACATCTCCATGAACCACAATTTTACAAGAATTGGTAAAACAAGAAACAACAATTAGTGAGACGAGTAATACATGTACAAACATTGAAGGAAAAAGATAAACAAAACCACCAATTTGAGCCTAATCACCAGGAATTAATTATCACAAGTAAATCAGTGATTACAAGTGATTTAGATCAACAGAATTAAATCAATCTCATCAATTTTACCTGGTTTTGTTTTCATTCGAGCAAATAAAACTCGGATTATCTGTTATTTAGTGTCTGTGATTAGCAATGAAACCTAATGACTCCTATGAGAATCTTGCAATTATAATTGTCCTTTCTGGATGTGGAACTGCAATTCTGGCTGCGATTCTGGTTCTTATCTGTTGTCACCTATTTGTCAAGGTGAGTTATTGATTAGTCGATGAGAAATCAATAGAAATCAACCCACGTAACGATGAATAGACATGAAGAAGAAAAAAGGTCAACTTAAGATGATTTTTCTTTTCTCTAATGACATTTATCTTCTTGTTCCTCATCTTATTCTTCCCATGATATTACTCATGATACAGAACAAAAAACTATCACATGTTACCATGAAATAACTTGACCACTAACACTCTCTCTTCTCTCTCCCTCAATCTGAGTGAGATGATCTCATCTGAATGGATAATCAGTTGATTATCGGTTCTTTAGTCAAAGTTTACTTTGGTTACATGATAATTCATATTGACAGGGTAAATAATGTTCAGGGATTGATTATGACTAACAAAAGGTTTTCTCATGTTTTGCTCCTCTAATTTATTTATGATTGATTTTTATTCCTCATCATTTCCTTTTCCGGTTTTCTCTTTTGTTGATTTTTCTTCATTTTTTTCCTTCCCTTGAAATCGTTAAATAATCAACAGAGTAAAGAGACTGTCACTCGATCAAGATATTATACAAGTTCTGGACGTACTTACACATTGGAAAGACAGACAACATCATCAGATGATAATAACATGGAATTATTCAGTTGCTGTATTGAGGAATCGATTTCTCAACAACCGGATGCTGAGGAAAGTGATGAGGATAAAACTGTTTCACCTCGATCTCTGTCCATCAGCGGTGGAAATGGTAATGGAAAAGCTCAAAATTCAAATGAGAAGACGAATAACATTGAATTGAACAATTTTCCCCAAGTAAGGTGAGTTAATTATCTCTTGATTATTACAATTAACTCACATGGTTTACTCGCATTTCCGTTTACACATTATTGCAACATCTTAATGATGTTTTCTTAATTTCTATTGTGTAATCTTGTAATCTTTATCCCCCAACTATTGACTGATTAATCTTGTTAACTAATTCTCAAAGTTGTATTGATATGAGGATTACAGTGATTAGGTAAATTTCTGGTAGTAAAGCTCATAATTAAATCATGATAATCAATCTTTCTCTGTCTTATTTAGAGATGAGCTTTGTTGTTGAATACTAATTTGGGTAATTTTGTTGATTGTAAATATTTAAATTACATTTTCATTGGATTTCACTGCGTCTCGATTAACTTAATTGATTAACTGTGATTTAGAAATTAGAAGCTTAATTTTTTGGCTGTTAATTTTCTTATCCTTTGATTTGACAGATTTTGCACTAATCAAAATGGCGGATTAGTGGAAACAGATAAATCAGAGAGAATTGATGAGGTAAGAACTTTTCTCTTCTTCTTGTATTCCATTTAATTAATTGATTCTTATTGATTGTTCTTCCTCTACAAATGTAATTTTCTTTATTCGATAGCAGATTAATAAACCATTGAATTCTAGTCATCGAAGATCCTCAGGTGGGATTACCCGTCAACAAAGTTTCGAGGTTCCTGATGAAGAGATTAACATCGATCTGACTAATACAATAGGTAAACTTGTTAAATTATTACGATTGATTCATTTAAGAACTTGGAATTAGTGTTCAATTTAATCATTTGGGTGATTTGTTTCTAAGATTCTTGGAAGTAAAGAAAATGAAGAAACATTTTAATTCTAATTTAAATGTTCCCATGTTTCTCTCAAGCAATTGAAGAGATAATGATTGTTATCGAGAAAAAGGAAATCTCAACAATGGTTAATAGAATCAAAACATTAACTTAATTGCTCGAAAAAGATTAATCATTGAAATGGAATTACTCATATTTGAACATTCAACCAGTTTTAATCAACGATTAACCATCACGATGATCAATTTCATCTTCTCTCTCTCACTCTTGATGTAATTCATTGATTCATTATGCACAATTAACCAACCCCGTTAATCATTAATTCAAAACAATCTGAATATGCTTGGTGTGATTCCTCTTTCTTTTTCTCTCTCAAATTCATTGATTTTGCTAATAATTGATAACATTTTGCATGGTAAACAGAGCACAGAATTTTTTGGTTTTAAAACAGCGGAAGTTTCATTTCCATTCCTCAAACGAACAATTCTCATATTGAACTTTCCATGGATCTTGAATCGAATCCAATGTTTTTCTATTACTTCCTTGATTCTCAAATGTCCACCAATCTAATGACCAATGAATTCTTTTCCCATTCAGCCCATGAAGAGGAAAACACTGATGAAAGATCCCCTGAAACCATAAGGTTTGTGGATCATTTTCTCTCTCTCTCTCTCTCTCTCTAATTAGTTGAAATTAAGTTCTTATTATTAGTTTAGTTTGATTAATCTCAATCACTTTCTCTGTTATTGATTGAATATCAATAGACGTGAATATCGTGAACTATGGCAATTACGAGCTACTTTAGAACTGGAAGAAAATCAATCAACTAATCCAATCGATGGTCAATCATCATCAACAACGATACCTGATAATATGGAGATGACCAATCAACCTGATTCTGTTGATTTAGTTAATCCTAATCTCACCAAATCATCAACTAAATATGAATCTGGATGGTTTTCCGCTGATTCTGGTTAGGATTGATAATCATTCAATCTAATTATTAATTAATCATTGGCTTTTTAGATTTTGCTCGTTTAATCATTGATAATTGCTTCCAATAGATTTAATTAACCTTTGCCTTGATTTGCAGTTTTATTAATTGTATTTGTTTGCACGAAAACCTTAATCATCTTCACACTTAATTGCTTCCTTAATGCTACATAATCCCAATTACCAAAGTAAAAACAATCAAATTTGCATGAGCTTTGCCTTCTTGCGATTTAATAGTTAATCAAATTTAGATGGAAAAAGCTTCGCAATTTGTATCAATCATAATTAATCGTTGATTCGTTTGATTCTAATTGTTGACAATTTGTTTTCTTTGCTTTTCACTCGACAGGCTATCGATCAATGGAAAGACGAGATTATTCAATTGATAGTAAAACCGAATCAATTTATCGTTCGTTTATATCAAATTCGGGCCCATCCAAGAAATCACATCACAGTATTCAAGAGGAACAAGAATCAGAGGCTTTTGTGTAATCGACAATTAATCAACAAATTGTCTCTAAATCACAATTATGTTGCAAATCCATATATCTATTGATGCCTTCGTTTGGAATACAAATTATCATTTAATCCTCATCATGGTCAAACCATTAAGATTATTTTGATTCTTGCCTTTGGTCTATTAGATGATTATCAGAGACTCGAAAACTAAATGGGAACATAATCTGATCAACTTTCAATTTAATCAAGGTTAATTTAAATTCTAATTATTTTGCTCTTACCAACAATTAATCAACCAAATGTTTCATTGAAATTCAATTTTCTGTCTATTGTTTTGATCTCATCAATGAGACTCTTCCCGATTAGAATGCAAAGTGATCATTATCGATTCAATTGGAACGATTAATTATGCTGATTGTTGTTATTAATCGAAGATGCAAAAAAAAATAATTCGTTCCTAATGATTGCTTCGAAAAAAGTTCTTAATTGCTTCGATTCCTTCTCATTAATTTCAATTCCATATTTGCCTTGATTACAAGATCTGATCCATTTATTAAATCAACTTTTGACCAACAGCGACAATTGTTACTAATTGTATCGTTTTTGACTCAACCTGATTAACTGATTGTGGTACAAATTCATCATCTTAAATCAATCGGCTTGAACCCAATCTCGAAGAGCTGAAAATCTCCTCGGGGAAATGATTACCGACTAATCATTTTCGCAATCTGATTAATTGCTGATCAAATGAATTGATCAATAAACAAACCAGATAACTGTAAAGTCTTCAATGTATTTAACCAAAAAAAATTAATGATTTTTTTTTCTAATTGTAACAAATCATCACAGTGAAAATAAAACAAAATCCGAGTAATTAAAGTGGAATCACAATTAATTTTATTTCGTAAAAAAAATAATGTAAAAAAGGGTTGGAACATATCGAGACAATTGAGAATTACAATTATGAACCAAATTAAAAGTTAATTGTGAATAGTGAACATTGAACCATTTGAGTTGATTGTAAGAAGATTAATTAATGATCATATTTAATTGCGAATTGTAGGAAATGAAATAAAGGTGATGTGTTCTGAGGTGGAATCTCTTTGTTGAACAACCTTTGAAGTCGAGCATAGCCTCGGGGCAAATTCGTCGCACATTGCTCTTTACTCTGGTGCTTGTTACAGGCCAAGTCCATGAAATCGGCCACAGCATCGGAAATACTTCCCTCGATGTACTTGGCGGTGCCTGGACCTGTGCTATTGGCGCAAAGTTTATTCACTCGAGTCAATAGACATTCACGGAATAAGTGGAAAGAACAACAAAAAGCGGGAAAATGTTGATTCGCTGTGAAGTTCGATGAGATTGTTTTTATCATGATCGACCATTTATCGGAACATTGATGAGCGGGTTCCGATGCCTTTTCGTCCTTAATACATCCCATGTGGAAGAGAAACTCTGAAAATTAAGGTGACAATTAGCTGATTGTTTGTTTCCAATACGATTTGTTTTTATTTCATTTTGTCTCTTGTCTTTGGTTTGGGTTTTAGCTGTTTACTAATTTGATTGATTTGATTGTTGATTGTTATCGTGTATGAGTAAAAATATCATTTATGTTTGTGGTTAATTAACTTTTGTATGATTATTACGATAATGAAATAATATATTATTAGTTGACACAATTTATTTTCGTTCAGCTGATTTACCATTAAAAGTGAAACTTGTTATTTAACTCTGATTATGTTGTATGTTGATTTAGGTCAAGTTCATTTTTGATTTAGATTAAATTAGTTTCTTCTTCTTATCATCTTGATTAAGTTAATTTTTCATCTTATAATATCAATTGATATTATAGTTGATTGATTGTACCATGATATTTATACTCATACATGAAAACTGATCAAGGTTAATTGTTGTTTATGTCATTCAGATTAATTTAAATGGATTAGTGAAATTCAATTAGTGAAAATTTGATTTTACATAATTTTTTCATATTAACCAAATTGAATCAAATCATTGTAACATAATTAAATTACTGAACAGATATTAATAGCCCATTAATTGGACCTTTCAACTTGATCTTGACCAATTTTGGTGAAATTTTCGATACTTTAGTTGATTAAAATTAGGAGTGTTAGCAGTGATTAGTTAATTGTCTTACCTTTACGACCTTCAGGGGTCAAACAGCGTCTTTTGTGAGCCTTTTTCAAGTGAAACAAAGCCGTTGCAAAGACTTGCTTGGCGAAAGGTTTGTAACACTTCGAGTGTCGTTCAATACATTTGATGTTTTCGGTCATCATACTTGGAGAAAATGTTGACAATTAGCTGATTGTTGACTGATTGTTCTTTCTTAAACTCTTACCTGCAATGTTCATCCATTTGTTTCTCATCTCTCGGACTAATCGGGTTCTATCGCCTTCGAACATTAATTTACGAGCACAAGTATCGGCTTCGTCGATTGACACTGGACACGATTTCCGTTGACCTGACATTGGAATAAACAGAATTAAGTTAATTTTGAACAATTAAAAGACACGGAAGCAAAGATCGAAATTGTTATTCACCTTCAACGTTACAATTTATCACAATCAAAAGGATTAAAATTGTTCGAAAACAGCTGATTGACATCAAACTAGAATTTAATTTGATATCCATTGTAGAGTTAATTGTTGATAGTTAACTGTTTCAATTGCTAATTGTGGAAGAAAATTAAATCAATTTATTTTTGCTTCTTTCGCAATTTCTTCCTCTTTGTTGATTAGATTTGGAAAAAAAAACTTTGATGATTACTGATTATTGTAACTTGATGGTAACTTCATAATTACAACAATTAATTTGATCATTTGAAACAAATTGTTGATTAATATAAATGCTATTTAGAGGGAGTGATCTAGTCTCCCGAGAGTGAGTATTAATTAACATTTTAATCAAAGGTAAGAGAAAGTGAATTAAAAATAAATTGTTTTCCTTAATCATTAAGGATAAATTGACAAAAAGTTAAATTCAGACAGTGATTAGTAAATTGTTGAGTTAATTTTTATTTATTTTCATTCATTAAATTTGATTAACTTTTATGAGTTAATTTGAGGCCTTTAATTACAATTAATGATATTGTGATTACAGTTGATTATTGTGATTGCAATTAACAAACAAATATTGTTAATTGTTTATTTATTATGGTTAATTCAATTGTTCAATTTTAATTTAGTTAATTGTTTAGGTAGACATTTGTATCTATTTGAAAAAAAATGAATACACACAATTTACTAATTGCTAATTGGAGATGATAGTTAATGAAACTTGTTTACATGAGACAGAAAAATTAATTAATTATAAAATTAATTTAATTTAAATCAAGTTTCAATTTAGAAATGTAATTTAAATCAATAATAATAATCAAGATTGTAATCAAAGAGTTACTATTGAAAATGAAAATAATCCAAATTTTTCCAAGAAAATGAGTTAACCAAAATCTAATCCACAATCAACAAATTGTTACATGTCCTTGAAATTAATTGATTAACCAAAATTAAATTAACTTTAACCATTGAATGAAAAAAGTACAATTAAGATCAGATGAATACGAAAGATTAAAAATGTAAACAAAAAATGAACACACAAGCAAACAGGTTATGTTAATTAATCAAAAACAATAGAGTTTACAATAAATTGTCAACAAAATAATTTAAAATCATCAACAGTTTAATTAATTAAATTTCATCTAAAATTTTTATCAACTTGCACAATTGAATGAGTAAATTTTTGGCCAAGAGTTTTATCAGTGGACGTGGCCGAGTGGTTAAGGCGATGGACTAGAAATCCATTGGGATTTTCCCGCACAGGTTCGAATCCTGTCGTTCACGAAATTTTTTTTCTTTTATCTTTCATCGAACTTAAGTTCGAATTGAATCAAACCCTTTTCCATTTCTCTACCAATCAATTAATTGACTCGCTCTTTGTTCAATCAAATCGAAATAATCGATTTTTTTTGTTTCTTTCACTTTTGTCGCTCAATTTGAAAAAAGAAAATTTTTCCAATTTTCGAAAGTTGCGCCATCTGGAGGATCTTTTTGTTTCTTCCTATTTTGGTTTGTGTTGTTTCCGTTTCCGAAACATTAGTTTAAGTGTGTTTATGTTGTGCTTATGTATTAAATTAATTCTGTTTCACTCTTTCCTTAGTTGGATTTAATTTAATTTAATTTAATTTGGTTATTGTGTTTTAGACTAATTAAAAAAGGAATTTAACAATATGAAGGTAAGTTGATGTTTTATTAGATTGATTATTGGTTCTTTCTCTTTGTCCGTTTTGGTTCTGTGTCTTGGTTTTCTGTGTACCGGTCATGATTTTTTCTGTTTCTTTGCTAATTTGTTCTTTTTGTGTATTTTAGCTTAATATCTCTTATCCGGCAACTGGTTGCCAGAAATTATTTGATATCGATGATGAAATGAAAACTAGAATTTTCTATGATAAGCGTATGGGTCAAGAAGTTGATGCATCAACCATTGGCCCCGAATGGAAAGGTTATATCCTTAAAGTTAGTGGTGGAAACGACAAGCAAGGTTTCCCGATGAAACAAGGAGTTCTTACTAATCAAAGAGTAAGACTTTTATTGGCTACTGGACACTCCTGTTATCGACCAAGACGAACAGGTGAAAGGAAACGAAAATCTGTTCGTGGATGTATTGTCGACAGTAACTTAAGTGTCCTTGCTTGTGTTATTGTTCAAAAAGGTTAGTTTTATTTTATTAATGTCTCCTCTCCCCCAAGTAGAGATCAGTTAATTTCAATTTTCCATTTTATATTTCAGGTGAACAAGATATTCCTGGTTTAACAGACAAGACTCTTCCTCGTCGATTGGGTCCTAAGCGAGCCAACAAAATCCGAAAGCTTTTCAACCTTTCAAAAGAAGATGATGTTCGACAATATGTTGTCAGAAGACCTTTACCCGAAAGAGCAGGAAAGAAACCTCGAACGGCTGCACCCAAGATTCAAAGATTAATCACCCCACAAAGACTTCAACGAAAGCGTAGATTGATCGCTCTTAAGAGAAACAGAGCTAACAAACAACGTGAGCTCGCTGCTGATTATGCTAAATTATTAGCTGCTCGACAAAAGGAAGCACGTCACAAGAAACAAGAAGGTATTTCTCCATTCAATTAACTTTTTGTGTTTTTATTTAACTTATTTTTAAACTTCAGAAATCCGACGACGTCGTTCATCTGCATCCTCTGGAGTCTCATCAAGACAACAATCTGTCAGTCAACCAGCTCCAACTAAAGGAGCCGTCAAAGCTGCAGCCAAGTTGGTCGCTAAAGCTAAAGCTACTGCTGCTAAACCAGTAGTCAAAAAATTAACTGGTAAAGTTGCCGCTCCAGTTAAAGGTGCCGTCAAGCCCGCCGTCTCTAAGGTCGCTCCAAAGGGTAAAGCAGCACCAGCTAAAGCTGCTCCAGCAAAGGGAGCCAAACCAGGAGCTAAACCCACTGGTAAAACAGCACCCAAATCGTCAGCCAAGGATGTTAAATCCAAGACAACAACTGGTAAATCAGCTACTCAAGCAAAACCTGGATCAAAAGCAGCACCAAAAACTGCTACTAAGACCGCAACCAAACCTGGTGCCAAACCAGCAGCAAAACCAGGAGCTAAGCCCACAGGTAAACAACCCGCTAAATCAGCAACTGGCAAAACCCAAAAATCAGTGACTAAGACAACAGGTAAACCTACTGGTTCTAAAACCGCAACTAAGCCAGTAGCGAAATCATTATCTAAGCCAGCAACAGGAAAAGCTCCAACATCCTCCAAACCATCGCTAAACCCGCTGGCAAAGCTCCGGTTCAAGCTAAACCAGCTTCAAAGTGAGTTGATATTTTATCAAATAATTAATTGAAATAATTGATTAACATTGATTTACTTTTTGTTCCATTTTAGACCAGCACCAAAACCAACCGCCACAAAATCAGCGCCAGCTAAAGGAGCAAGCGGTGGAAAAGCTGCCGTTGCCAAAGCAGCCGAAGCAAGGAAAACAAAACCATCTAAACCATCAAAATAGATAAACAAAATCTTAGATAATCAATTGATATAAAATAAAGGGAAACTGTTTTTTTGTCCATCACATATTTTTTTTTAATTTTATTTTTATATTAATTTTATCGCGATGGCCTCTTATTTGAAAAACATAATATTTTAGCCTTAACATTTTGAGGGGAAAAAAGTGTTAGGAATATTTGATTTAAGGGAAAACAACTTGGAAAAGAGAAACAATTAGCTCTTTTGATTGAGCTGAACAATTAACAAATAAATTGAGGTAATAATTTTGTAAACAAAAAATCATAAGACAAATAAATAGGAAATACAAGGATATGAGTGACACTGGGAATAAGACGTTGAATCAAAGTAATTGATTGGAAAAAGAAACTGATTAAGCAAAAATTAATTGATAATTTGTCTCATTCTTTGGTCACCACAATAGTTATGAGAAAAAATCTAAAAAAAAGTTTCTTTTCTTTTGTTCCCTTAATTAATATCCCTTAACTGACCCTCAAAGGAAAAAATTAGAGCCAATTAATTGCGAGAACAATATTGGCTTTTGAAGATTGATACATTCACTTTCATACTTTTAACTGATCAAATTAACTGTTAATTGTTAGCAAATTGACCAGAAAAAGATGAAAAACATTCTAATTTTAAATTCTATTCTAAATTTAAATTTAACCCGAGACTGTGACGATTCGATGATTAGGTTAGTCGATCTTCTAACATCAAAATGGTGGAAGATTCAACAACAATTTACTCGAATACGTGTGTTGAGGGTAAACCAAATAATGAGAGTAATGATCATGGATATGAACTTTGTTCGGAGGATGATAAATATATTCACTTGGATTATTGTGGTTTTGAGGATTGTTGATAGAACCCGAATGACCACTGACCATTCCACCGACGGTACTACCATTGCAACTACTCGTGGTACTACTGTTACTACTACTATTGCAGTTTCCATGTTTGACTTTGAAAAAACGATCATCAAATGTAGTAAATGTCGGTAATGTTGGGCCATAGGAAGACATTGGTGAGAACGACGGAGGTTCATTAAGTATGATACTCGAAAGTGTTTGAGTTTTCATGATTTTGGCATAACTTTGACGAAACACATCCAATATATGATTAAACGCTTCTTCATCATAAACTGATTTCGCTGTATTGGTCCGATCAAACGGCTCTTCCACACAAATATAATTCCAATGTTTCGGATTGTTTTTCGGAGCGACATGTTCACGAGCCTTGGACTTTGGTATTGTGCCTCCGGTGCGAATGCAAATTGCATTATTACCATAATCGAATTTGTAACTGAAATAATCTAAAAAGCCAATAAAAAGTCGACTTAATGAATCTTTGTTATTCGATTGCCATTCAGGAATCTCCTCGAAAAGACTCAGCTGAGTTATATCGGAATCGGGATGAAATTTATCGGGCATCAGTTTGTTAAGACAAGGCAACACTGGGGGATCACAACCACCTTGAAATCAATTGGAAAAAGAGATTTAAATTAATAGAACCATTAAAGAGCAATGAGAATGACAATTGATTAACTTACATTGCAAATAATGAATAACCATTAAGACAATTGTGTAACTAGAAATGGTCTTGTTTCGTGCATTGTTAATGCCATTTTGACGAGCCCACGTTTTTGCCGTTAACACCAAAGGCTGAACTCGTTTATCCACTAAAACAATGAGCCGAAAATAAATACAAATAATAAATGAATAGAGAACGGAAAACAATACCAGAGCTAAATTGTTGGTAAATTCTCACTTCTATTGTAAAACTCGATTAATTGTGTATTCCTTATTCCAACAATATTATTAAAGTTAAGGTCGATCTCGATTCCACTTTCAGAATCAGTAAACTTTAAAATTGGTACTTTAGCCAATATTAACTTAGTGTTTTTTACAAAAGCTACAAATCAAGACAGAGAAGATTAGGTGAGACAATTAATTTCATCATCAAATCAATCGACTTACGCAGTCGGGACAATATCCTTTCAGCCCATTTTAAAACAGGAATAGCATAACGTAAATGGCACATCTTTTCACCGATACTATCAACCACCAAACAAAGATCAATGTCACTGTTATTTGTCCCGAGGCCATTCAATGATGAACCAACCATGTAAAGGTCGATAGCTAAATCAATGATAAAATGAACAATTAGCAAATGAGATGGAAACTCAACCAATTGTCTCATATGATCAACTCACGGAACTCAGTGTGCATCCGAAGCATGTTATAGATTATTTGTCTCAGCATCTTCTTCCTCTTGAATACTTCACAGCTCTGCCTGTGGGTTTCAACCAAATCTTTAATTTCATAAGAAATCTGAGTGATTAAGAGAGAGAAAAAATAAACAATCAATTAGTAGATTGATTTGAAGTGAACAATCAAGGTTAGAAATTGAGACTCACCCGATCCATTGTTTGGCACATTATATTCCGACCATAAATTTGATTAGTAAATAAGTGATTAAACGATGGTCACAATTAACTAGATAAGATGTTGATTGGAAATTGATTCAATGAAAATGTGAAGTATAGGAAATGTAAATGTAAAGGTAAAGGTAAAGAGGTGATGGATTTACATGGATTAGATTAAATTGGATTAGCAGAAAGGTTGAACCTTAATTTCAGTAAGAATTGTAAATTGAGAGGTTAATCACTATTTAACTGGTAATTGTAACAAGTCAACTGATTTTGGTAACCAAGGTGTGATGGTGGATGATGAAGATGATCAAGATGATGAAAAGTGTAACGTTAATCTCAAGGGTACCAAAAGAGTTGATCATCAAATGGTATTGGAAACAAATGTAAACACAATTATAGAATCAATTTGGGTAAATGTAATCATTGTTTTCCTTTAAATTGTAACTCATTTAAATTCATCTCAATTTACACTTGGTTGTTTAACGAATAACAATTAGGAGCAATTAAAATAATTCGTATTGTTTTAATTGTGGAAAGAAAATAAGAAAATAATTTAATTCTAACGAGAGGTTAATGTTTTCTTCGGGTGAGAAAAACCGATTTCATTTAATTTCTTTCATTTGTTATTCTTTTCTTTAAATGATCAGAAATTTTTATTATCGGATTTAAAGGAACAATTTGATTATCTTGATTGTAACTGCAATTAATAGTCGTCACTGGTTTTCGATTATTAATCAATTGTTCCAATATCGTTTAATTTTGATTCTTTTCAAGAGAAACATTGGTTCAATTAACTTTCATTATTTTCGGCTAATCAGTTTTATCGATCATACTAATCAGTTGATTGTCTGACAATGTTTAACGTAAATCATTGTGATAATCATGATTAGCTGATTAATCTGATTAACTTTTTTTTTCTTCAACTTTTAGAACTAAAAGTTTTTCAATCAAAATCTTCACTCGATTGGTTAAGTTTCTTTAGTGTAACAATTAACTTATTGAAGACCAAAATAATTTCGAGAAACAGTTTCATCATTGATTGTTGTAAATTGTGTTGATTTTGGTTAGATATTTAATCTACAATTAACAACAATTTACATTGTAATCTAAATCATTGGTCAACATCATTTCAACATCCAAACAAAAAATTTAGCTCTTCAATTGATTACATTTACTTGTTTTCCATTAACTTTAACATTTGAATTAACTTTTCTTTCGGACAATTGAACCTACATAACTATCAACTAAATTGGAGAATTAGTTAATTAGTTAATTAGTTAAGTGATTACTTGATTGTTAATTTCATCTTGGAAACTAACTTTTGATTTGAGCGCTTCTTTCGTTTCATGGTAACCAAACATGTGCTTTCATTTGTTTATTTTCATTTCTCTTCATTTATTTGGTTCAATTGAATTAATGATTGTTTTCATTTAATTTGAATAATTAAATTTTTTTATTATGTTCGATTGATTCTATTGATTCTACTGTTGATCTCTAGTCAATTTAGCATTATGTTAACTTTCTCTGTAATTAGATCTCTTGACCGTTTAGGTTCACAAATAATCCGTAACAAAGTGATGACAAAATTAAATTGTGAATTTGTGATTGGTAAAAGATACTATTCTCTAAATAGTGATGGTGATAATTTTGATTCCAGGTCAAAGTTTAAAAGTAAAGAAAGAGAAAAAGAGGTTAAACATGGTAAAAGTGGTGAAAATAATCCCGATGTTTTTGGTCAATTTGGTGTTGATGAAGATTTTGTTATGCCTTTGAAGTCAGAAAGTTTACCTGATGATGATGATGGTTACGATACATTAGAGATTAATCGTAATCGTCGTCATATTTTATACTATAAGAATAAATTTGCCGAGTTAATTCATGGTTCTAGAGTTGGCAAAGCCAAGATCGTGGAAGCGCTGAAATTATTTGACGACATGCGGATGGACGATCGGAAAAAAGTACAACCCTACATGTACACTTTACTTATTTCTGGTGCGGCTGAAAATGGTTACACTGAAAAAGCATTTGAACTGTTTGAAGAAGCGTTGAAAGCTAAATTAAAACCAACATTTGCTACAATTACCGCTCTATTCAACGCTTGTGCTGAATGTCCATTCAAAGAGATGGGACTGGAAAAAGCGATATGGTTGAGGAAGTGGTTATATGAAGTGGCCAATATTCAATTGAATCAATCTCAATATCATGCAATGATTAAAGCTTTTGGTAAATTGGGTGATCTCAAAACAGCCTATCAATGTGTTGATGAAATGGCAGAGAAAGACATTGCCATTGATACTGTCACATTTAACCATTTATTAGTTGCTTCAATTAGTCAACCAGAAAATGGATTTGGTGAAGCAATTAAATTATATCGACGAATGAGATTTCATAAGATTCCCAGAGAATTAAAAACTTACAATTTACTCTTAAAAGCAACCAAAGATTGTGGAATTGGTGATAAAGAAAATTTTACTAAATTAATTCATCAATGGTTTAATATGGATCGAGTTAAATATAACGAGAAGAGGCGTCCACCTAAACAAGTGAATTCAAAGAAATCAAAGTTAATTAACGAACCAACTAATCCAAAAATGTCTTTTTCTAATGACAAAGTTTTCGATTATCTACCTGATGGAAGTGTCAAAGAATTAAATTTAGAAGAATTGGAAAATGACACTTCAAATGATATAATCCAATCAAATAATAACGAAAATGGATTAATGTTAACGCAACCCAATTTCTTGGTCTCATCCAAATATCTCCAAATGTCTAATGTTATCAACATTGATTACGAATCACTTAGTGATTGGAGAAATCGTTTCCAATTAATTGGAGGAACTGAAGGTTTTCTTCATCTTCTTACAAGCGAATCAGTTAAACCCGATATCAAAACATTCACCTTAATGTTGGATCTTCTACCGGGAAACAATCAATGTGAAGATGATTTGATCGATTGCATGAAACAATTTAAGGTCAAACCTGATACTGGAATATTCAATCAAATAATCAAAAGACGTTGTTATCGGAATGACATTTATTCTGCTAAAAAGGCTTTCGCTGAGATGCAATTGAATCAAATTCCCGTTGATTTAGCAACTTTCGGTGTTCTCGCTTCTGGTTGTAGAAACGTTAAAATGGCTAATCAGTTTTTCAAAGATTTAACTGATTCTGGATTTAGACCCAATATTCAAATAATCGGAGCCATGATGAAGAAAGCTTGTTTTCTCAAGGATATTGTAACCATGGAATTAATCCTGAAAAAGATGACACAATTTTCTATTCCCGCTGATAGAAGGATAATCGATGTTATAACTTTGACCATTGAAGAAATTGATAAAATCCTTTGGTCCATTGAGAAGGGAAAACAAAAAGCATTTGGACATTTCTTGAATCCAGAATTTCCCTCGAATTTCAATAAATTCAAACGTTTCTTTGAACAATGGGCCAGTAATACTGATATCGAGATTAATCATCCATGGGATCAATTTAAATATCAACGAAGAGATTGGCAGTATTATAAGATGAGAAGTTTCGAGAAAACAGTTAAATCAAAATTAATGGAAAGATCTGAAGTTAAAAAAGCAGTCGAATCAGGAGCTAAAGTTAATGTACATAAATTGATCCACGATTTTTGAGAACAAAAGATTTGATAAATCTTGAATAGATGAACTTAATAGAGAGAAAAAAATCATATTGTAATAAATATGTCGATGTATTGTCAAAATTAATTAAATAAAATCTAAATCAAATGAAATAATCTCGTTGCAAAGTTCAATCAACAAAAATATTAATTCCTCATAGAATCAAATCTCCAAAATTACTCAGAATTGAAAAATCTTTAAAGCCATAATCCAAATTGATGCATCGATTCAAACAATCTCATTGATTGCTGATTTAGTTACAGAGAAATCGAAATCAAAATCAAAATTAGATTTGAAAAAAAAAGTTTAGTGGTAAAAATGAGTTTTCGAAAATCGCGGTTTTCCAGCCAAAGAATGAATTTGTTGTCATGGAAACTACGGCTTAGAATTTAAGTTTCCTTTTCCGGTAGCTCTGTGATCTTTTCTTAGTGTTTTGAAATTCTTTTAGTTTTTCTTGTTTAATTTAATTTAATTAAGGTAATTAATTTAATTTTGTGAATAACTATCGTTTTCTTATTGTGACTTGATAGACTTTGTGTTGCTAATTTAACCTTTTCTCTTTTTAATTTGCTTGTTTCTCTTCAGTAGCAGACAAAATGGTCCGCGTCAAAACTGTTCATAGTAAAACCTATGTTACTCCTCGTCGTCCCTTTGAAAAGGAGCGTTTGGACCAAGAATTGAAGATTATTGGTGAATATGGTCTTAGAAACAAACGTGAAGTATGGCGAGTTAAATATACCTTAGCTAAAATTCGAAAAGCTGCTCGAGAATTATTGACTTTGGATGAGAAAGATCCTAAACGTCTTTTTGAAGGTAATGCTTTATTGCGAAGACTTGTCCGAATTGGTGTATTGGATGAAACCCGAATGAAACTCGATTACGTCTTGGGTCTTAAGATTGAAGATTTCTTGGAACGACGTCTCCAAACCCAAGTACTAAAACACGGTCTTGCTAAATCAATCCATCATGCTCGTGTTCTCATTAGGCAAAGACACATTGCTGTCTGCAAACAAGTGGTTAACGTACCTTCATTCATTGTTAGGTAATTGTCTCTTCTTTATACCAATCTAATGCGTCTAGTTATTATTTTATCACTAATGTCTAATGTTTTGTTTCTTTTTCTAACTATCAGATTGGATTCTGAGAAGCACATAGACTTCTCAATGAAATCACCATTCAGTGGTGGACGACCAGGTCGTGTCAAGAGGAAGAACGCTCGCAAACAAAAGAGCTCTGCTGCCGCAGAAGAAGAGGATGAAGATTAGACTTAATCTTTTTGTTTATATAAGTTTCAAATGATTTCCAATAAATCAGTATGACACAGTTAATTTACAAGTATTAGAATCATATGAATTTTATTTTAACACACATCGGTACTTGATTTATACATTATTTAAAGTTCAAATGATGTCCTGGATTCAAGAATTCACTTCTCAGTGGACTAAAGGATTTAATTCATTCGACAACAAATCATGTAATTGGTGCCCAGGAAAATCGGAAAACGCTTGCAATACAAGTTGCTTTTTATTTAAGTCGATTGTTGATTTCTGATGAGGTTACTTGGATAATCATGGATTAAATAAGAAAATGACCTTTAGGATGGAGAGTGGATAGATGAATATTCCAACTTAGTTCATTTGACTTTCGGTTGTCTGTCAATTTCTCACCAAATTATTTTAATTGTGGGACATTTTAATTCGTCAAAATTTCCTGTGCTTATATTTCAATATGAAAGTGTATGTGAGGAACATTAATTGCCCTCATGTGAACTTAGTAGATGTGAATTCGGATTTTAACCGTCGAGTTTTAAATATCTTTTCTTCTGATGTCAAAGGCAAATTATCAATGAGACATTTTCTTAATTTTGTCTTGATCAATTTACTTTTCTGTATAAACTGAATTTCCCTTTCAACATTTTTCCAGATAATCATGTTAATTTGATTCGCTGAACTTTTAAGTTGAATTTGTCGGTCTCGCCTATGAAAGATTTTAGCACTTTTCTGATTTGCCAAACGTAATTTAGAATCTTCATCGAGGTGCATTCGATTTTTGGCCTTCGAAAGGACAAATGCTGAAACTTTAAGATTCGAAAGTGTTTTCTATTTTGATTCGTTTGTTAAGGTCTTCATCTAGTCGCGAATACATAACTTTCTTTGATTCCTTGTTAATTTAAACTATTAAAATGAATTTCAACTGATTATCACTCCCGAAATGATTCTGACGATTTCTTTGGTTTCTCTTATTTACATTGGATTTTTTACGAAAAACCTAAACTTTTGTAGTGCACTGTAGTTTTAATTCTCCTACGTTTGTGTTAAATTTGTGTGATTACCAGTTTATTTGATCTATAATTGGGTCAATATTAATTTAATGGTATTAGTTGATTGTCTCCGTCATGTTTTGTCGTAACTCGTTACCAAAGGTAATATGGAGATTGAAATTATCACACTAATTAACCAAATTAATTGGAATCTCAGCCAGTAACTATCACAACTTTCAAATGAACAAATGAATGAGTCAGTTAATTAAGTTTACATGCAAATATTTAATATATAATATTTTACAAATTTTTGATTGTTGACAATCAAAAAAAACAGATTATGTTTAACCAACGCTTTTAATTTGTTGTTCATCAGATTGTTAATCAGAATTGTTGTAAATGATTTACTATTACCGACTAATACATAATCAACTTATTTCAATTAGTAATAATATTTATAGTATCTAATTGTGCAATTTGTTACTTCGGGTCATTTTTAATTGTTATTTTGTTTCCAATTTAATTTAATTGAACAAAACTTTCGAGGTCAATGATAATTAATCAAGGGAAAAAGGGAAAACCATTTCAAAGATCAGGTCAATCAATCCAATCGAAGTTGAAAATTAGTTCGATTGCGAACAAAAAAAAACGTTTCATGGCAAAAGCGAAAGTTAATTGAAGACGAAGAGGAAAAGACAATGATCATTGTAGTAATTAGTTAATAGTTAATTATGACGATGACGATAATGATAATAATAATAATGAATTATGGTGAGAGGATGAAGATGAATTGGTTTGATGATGAAATGATGAATGTTGATGATTATGATTTTGTTCATTAAATTGTTGATGAGATTCGAATTATTTGTTTTTTAATTGGCAGCTTGAACATAATTAATTAATCATCTTCTCATGATTTGTTTTCTTTTTGCTTAATTGTTGTTTGACGTCAATGTTTTTATTCAATTGGCTCTTGGATTTTAATGGTTTAGCTAAATTTGGTTTATTGTTTATTTTATCAATCATTTAACTTGGACGTTGATTGTTGGTTGATTACAGATTTTCAAAGCACTAAAAAGACTCAAGCATCCTGGTGACTCTTGGAACAGGATATTGGTGATAATTCCCGGCGGGAATGGTGCGAGTTGCTTGTGGTGGTGAGTGAGAGTGGAGGTGGTGAATGTGATGAGGATCGTTTAGTGTGTGATGAAATTGGAGGTGAAAGTGAAAAGGGAATCGTCGGCGTTGAGCCCGCTCCAGGCGACAGTCCCGGCGATGAGGAGACTGACGGTGATCGCCCTGATTTCGGGTGGGACAATGATGAGGGCGGCGGTGGTGGTAGTCCAAAGGAGGATGAAGGTGGAGGTGTTGGTGATGAGACAGTTAATGATGGAGATAACAATTTGTTGAAAGGTTCTCGAGATAATTGAGTGAGCTCCTCGAAATGGCTCGAATCATAATGATCCTTCAATCGTGATCTCTCACTGAACGACAATGATTTACAAAAGATACAGATTAAATTACCATCAGCGTCCGCTGGGATTTTGCTAATTCAAAAGAGAGGGTGGAAACACCGATTCGCGCCAATAGGCCAAAGTTATTTGCTTTATCAACATTATTATTATTACAATTTATAATCTTATTATTATCGATATTGTTATTGTTGCTATTGCCCAAAGTGCCCGATTCAGTTGATCGTTCATGATGAGATGATGAATGATGGTGTTGATGATAATGATGATTTGACAAATGACGAGATTGATAATGGTGACCATTGGGTTCTGGTGAAGCTCGATTACTATGTGGACTTGACCCTCCAGGGCTAATTGACCTTCTTTCATGTTGATTGTGACGATAATGGCGATCATGTTGATGATTACCTCTTGAAGAGCTATGGTTGGTTGGTACTGGTGAAACTGATCGACGATTTGAATGGTCTGATGGATGAAGATGAGAGGAAGATGAAGGTGATGAGTAATCACGATTCGGTGGTGATGATGGACTTGAGGTTGTACTTTTCGTTGTTGTTGAGGTCAATCCGGTTGCCGTTGTTACCGTCAAACCGATGTTGGTATCGTTATTGTTTGATAATCTTCCACCGCTCGATGATTGTGGTGACAAATCATCTCTCATTGAACCTTGCATATCGGCTGATCCTGAGCCAGGAAGACGAGTTGGCATCGTGAACGGAGTATGAGGGAAATTAGGAAATGGCATCGAAAACTGGGCTGTCATTGCAGCTAAAAGATCTTGAGGAATTCGACTCGAGTAAAGGTCGGTTAAATTAAACGACGGTGAATCATAAAATCGCGATAAAAGATCATCTCTCATCACATTGGCACCAGAATATGGGAATAAAACATTAGCCCCGCCCGCTGCAGCCGCTGCCGCAACGGCTGCGGCCTTGTCAAGGCCGAAAGGAATTCCTTTGTCAGAATGAGTTGATAATAATTTACGATGAAGATTCATGTTAGCTGAATGCCGATCTCGAGATCGTTTCGACGGGAAAGCGGCATTACAGCCCTCCACGTTACATTTGTGCATCACTTTAAGGTGAACATTTTGATAGTGCGTTTTAACGCCAAAGTGATTTTGAAATGTTTTCCCACAGGTAACGCACCTTCGAGGGTTATCTTTGTCAACGGGAATCTCAATTGGTCCAACTAACGATGCATCACGATAAATGGGTGTTGTCAATCCAGGTAAAGTCGATGGATGAACTGGACTTGTAAAGTGATTATTAGCTAATGACGTTGATGATCCGGTTGAATTTTGATATTGAGATGATTGCTGATGATTATTAGAATTGTTTTCTGATTCATTTGATGATCGTTCATGTTTAGGTTCATGAAGAGAAATGTTTTGAATTGATCCGTGGCCTCCGTTGCTCATGTTGCTGGATAAAGAGTGATGAGGTTGGTGTAAAGATGAAGTCGTGGATGAAGAAGAGGAAGATGAATGTTTGGAAGATCTATGATGACCAGAAGATTGTTCGGATTCTTCTAAACGATTTCGTTCTTTATTCGATTTACCAGATTCTTTAGTTATTTCCTTAGTTCTAATTCTCTCTTCACTTGGTACTTCGGGTCGACCTAATCCAAGTCCAGGAGCATGAAATGAAAGTGCAGGCGAACCAGGGAAAAGATTTGAATGAAGAGAATGATTAATCGAAGCATTCGATCCAGTTAAGCCCGAAAATGAGCCCATCGAGAGACTTTCAAGATGTCGAAGTGGATTATTCTCGGCATTATCTCGGAAAAGATTAGCATCTAAAGTTAATCCAGTGGGTAATCCAGTCGCAAGAAAAGGTAACTTTGGTAAGCCACAATTTTCCTTCTCGTGTCCATCAACAGTTAAATTGGCGGAAGATGATGACCGGTTGCGTCCACTATTAAGATCACTAGTTGATTCCTTCCCGCTATTATCAGCCCCAGAAAGAGGTTTTCGTGATCGAGATGAAATTAATTCTGATTGATAGTTACTTTTCTTGGATAAATCCATAGTTCCAAAAGAATCTTGATCTTCACGAATTTCATCCTCATCTTCAAAATCATCGCCCATCGCATCATCATTATCATTAACTTGCTGATCTAATTCAGATTCTTGTCGTTGTTGCGACTGTTGTCTCTCAATTCGTCTTTTACTTTCTTCATTGACTAATTTTCTAGATCGATTTGATTTTCGACGTCTAACTGATGAAGGTAACGAACCGTCTAACGAATCATCATCATCACCTTCATCTCCATCATCTTCTGGTTCATCTTCAGATTTGGAATCCTCATCATCTACAATATCATTATCATCCATTCTCCCAATATAAGTTCCACTGGACGAATCATCACAAGAATCTCCTAACTCATTATCTTCATTATCCTCATCGTCATCATCTTCATCTGAAGCTCCTTCAATTAATGATGGTTCACATCTAATTGGATTCAAACTTTTACGTTTCCTTTTGTTAGTTGATGTATCGATGTTGTTGATTACATTGTTACTATTGAATCCGGATGCGGATAAATTATTAGCTGTTAAACGAGATGTGATTGAATTATTATCTCTATTTGAACCGTTGTTTAATCGAGTTGAATCGTGACGAACACTAAGATTAATTCCTTCCTCTGGTTCATTACTGTTTTCATCACAAGAGATCATCTCTTCATCTTCTCTTCTCATCTTTTTATTGGTCAGTGAGAGAGCGGAAGACATTTCACCTTCACGAGTTAATGTTTTAGTCGAAGAGGATGAAGCCGATGACGATGATGATAATCCTTTAGTTGTCGATGTTGGTAGAGAGGTGGTTGCGGTTGGTGTTGTTGATGAGCTCGCAAGAGTCGTCGATGTGGTGGTCATCATCATCATCATCTCTGTAGGTGAATGTCCGTCTCGAGATGAGGAGGGTGACATGTCCCTTGAATGTCCATCTTTACCATCGCCGGTGTAAATTGACGATGATGAGGTTAGTTGACTTGATTCGGGATTACCCCTTTCCGAATCATAAAGAGCTGAAGTAAAACCGTGAATCGAATTGGATAAAGAGACATGGGGATGAATTCCCTGTAAATGGGATGAAGAGGGGACAAGAGATGCCACGGAATGATTAGAGGAACTTCCTGTTCCGAGAATTCCGCCGGAAGAAGATAAAATATTCCTTCCCGATGGATTAACACCACTTACTCCACCCAATAATCCACCGGAGGTCATCACACTACCCGAAGGTGAACCATAATCTGGTGTTAATCCTCCTGCCATCATTTGATATGGTTGAGCTGATCGTCCATCATGTGGATTCATTTTTCGTCTTAAATTTGGTGTATGAAGCTTAGGATTTGGATTAGCTGAGTGTCGATTGCGACTTCGTCTCGATGAAAAGGTCATTGTACAACCGGAAACTGTACATTGGTGCATTTCCTTCAAGTGAACGGCTGAATAATGAATTTTAAGTGCTCCTTTATCACAAAAGGTTTTCCTGCAAACATTACATGGGACTCGCTTTTTACCCGTCGATGGATTTGTGGTCATTTGACTGAGGACAACAGGATTTAATCGTTTCATTCGCATCGGATTATTGGATTTACGATGATGACGAGATGATGATTTAGATAAAGACGATGAAGATAAAGACATATCATAAGAACCAGCGGATAAATTGATTACACTTTCACTCGTATTTGTATCAGTTTCACCATCAGAACCTGGACCTTCACCATCGGTCAAACTCGACTCCGAGTTACCTGTTGATCGAGGTCTTCGAAGTCCAGTTGATGATGAAGACGTTAATCCTCTTGAAGAAGAATGGTGATGATGAGAATGATGATGAGAATGATTGCCATGAGGAGAAGATGAAGAACGATGATGATGATGATGATGATGATGGTGATTATGGTGATGATGATTAGACGAAGATGAGGTTGATAATTTAAACGAATCAGCTAAACCAGCGAGTCCTAAACTCGAAGCCATGTTGTTGTCTTTCGGCGAAACAAGTGAGAGGCTATTGTGGAGACTTTTAACAATTTCATCAGTTTTACATGATAAAGTATTTCCGGTTGATGAAGATGAAGATAAATTATTGACACCGAGAGATGATGAACCTGGAAGATCACTTTTCATTGAACTATTTACAGGAGGAGATGAGGATGAAGAGGGTTGGTGATGATTCCTATTTGAATTGTGTGATGAATTGCACCTAAAGTCAAAGGGTTGCTGATGCATTGATGATGAGGTTGTGGAGGAAGATGAGGTCGCAACAACTGATGAAGTTGTTGTTGTTGATGAAGACGAAGATGATTGATAACGATTCAATGGAGATGGAGCATTACCCGTCGTTAATACCAATGGACTTTGATGGTCATTCGGACGATGATGATGTCCACTTCGATCTGAATTAGTTGATGATCTATTTAGAGATGAGGTCGAATGATTTTGTTGATGATGACGATCATCTGGTGACATAATCGACGATCGTCCCATTGCAGTTAAACTAAGTGGAAGAGCTGATGGACTTTTACAATCAACGGGATAATTTGGTGATGGTGATGATCGAAGTAAATTGTTGTTGTTACTATTAATACTATTGTTATTGCTCGAGGTGTTTGTTGATAATCTGGATCGAGAGGTTTTCTCGATAAATCGACGGATTTCACTGTCGATCGATTTCCCGTTTCCAGGGCCGAGATTTAATCCACTGGTGGATAAAAGATCTAAAGGTGACACTGAGGAAGAGGTTGTTGTTGTCGAAGTTGTTGTTGCACTAGTTAGAGATGATGAAGATAAAGATGAGGTCAAAGATGGTGTCGTGTTTGAAGGTGCAGATGAAGCGGCGGCGGCAGCAGCAGTTGCGGCCGCTGCAACGGTCATCAGATCGTTCCAAGGAAATCGATCGTTAAGAAGAAAATGATGAGCAAAACTTTTGGTCTGATTGTAACGAAGAAATTGTTGAAGAACTAAAATCTCTTCTTCGGGACTGACCATTGTCCATTTAGATAAATGTTTACCATCCGAATCCTAATAAGTTAATGGTTGGTAGGGAAGAGAAAACAAAGTTGAAGAAAAGAGAGAGAGAGAGAAAGTGAGTTAATGATCAGACAAGATGACGTTGTGTTGATGATGATGAAAAGAAGGAGGATTTTCAAGTTCGTAAACAAAATAAATTAGGGCAACAACGTTTTCGAAAAGTTTTTTTAAGGTCACGCGTTTACCGATGTTCGGTTCATCTTGAAATGTTTCAACTTGTGTCAAAACTAAAAAGTCAAATGCACAGAGACAGTTAGAGGGAGCCACAGGAAAAGAAGATGAAGAAGATGAGGGAGCAAAGTGAAGACTAAGAAGAAGGAGGAGGTAAAGTAGAAAGAGGGAGGTGGTTGATGAGAGTGAGAGAGAAGAGAGAGAAAGAGAAAGAGAATGATAGGCGTATTGTTCCAACGTCAAAGAAAGAAAGAGAGAGAGTCCAGTCCAGTCCAGTCCAGGTAAAAAAGAGAAAATGATGAGGATGATACAGAGAGAGAGAGAGAAGATGAGTGTCAAGAGAGTAAAGAAAAGAGAGAGAGATGAGAGGGAGAAGGATGACAGTAAAAGAGCGTGAGAGAAAAGAGAAAGTGGAATGAGAGTTGATCGGTAATTGGTGTAGTTTGTTCATAAACCGACAAGTACAGTTCAAAGATGATTACAGGGAGTTAACAGGGGGTGGGTTGAGAGAGAGAGAGAGAGGGTGGGAGAGAGTATGAAAACTAGATTACTGGCACTTGAAAAGTGAGCAAACGTGAGCGTAAAACGATTGTAAGGGGAAGTGGACAAAGGGCAGTTATTGGTTAATAGAGTAAAAGTCACTCTGCCCATAGGCCATTACTTGGCTTTTTTAAGCGAAGATGATGAAGATGATGAAGTAGAATATGAAGATGAAGTTGATGATGAGAGAGAAAAGATGAAGAGGAGACAAAAGAAGGTTGGTATTGATTAGATAGAAACAGAACAAATTGCATTCTCGTTAAATTACAGGCTTCAAGTAATAAACGGATGACAACCATCATCTCGATGGAAGAGAAAATGATGAAGATGATGAAGGAAAACATTTTACATTTCGTCTTCTTCCTTTGTCTTTTTCTTTCTTTACCTTTTCTACCTTCATCTTCTAAGGTCACTTTTCTTTCTCTCCGATAAACATTTTATTCTAAATCATTATCATTATCAGAATGATTATTTATTCCTCTTCTCTTTCTGTTATTATCATGTTATCGTGAATACTCATCAGAATAATGATTCATCGTCTCTTTCATCATCTTTTTGCTTCTTACTTTTTGTCACTTTCAATGCTCATATTAAGACAAAATCTACAATTGTGATGATGAAGATAAAGATGATGATTGTTTTAAAATCCTTTTCCATAATATACTTCTGAACAGGTAAGAAAACTGAGAGAGAAAAACATTTTCTTTCAACATAAATTTACTTCTAATGGTTTTTTATTATTACTTTTAAAATAGTCACGAAATGAAGCAATAGCCATTGAGAGAGAGAGAGAGAGAGAGAGAGAGAGAGAGAGAGAGAGTTACCTCCTCCTGTATGAACAATCATCTCCATCCTCATCTTCATCCTCATCATCACTTTCATGATCACATTCAGATCATAATCATCCCTTAAAAAACAACAAGCAAAAGGTTGTCAATTTAAATGAACAATTTAAACAACAATCTGTTGATTGTTGAAAAATAAATATAAATATTATTTAATAATAGTTATGAATCATAATGATAATTGTAAACGATAACATTTATCTTTGCAAGACTATTAAAGGTTCAAGGGTAATGAAGACGATGAAGATAATCATCTTAAATCATGTTCATGTAAACTACAGGTAATCAAGTTAATTGCTTCTGTCACCGGAAAAACAAAACTATTTCACCTTAACTTATTTACCTGAGGCTAACTACAGGTAACGTTTACTGAAAGAGTTAATTTTTCAAGAGTAAAGATAAACAATTAAGCGAGAGAGAGAGAGAGAGAGAGAGAGAGAGAGAGAGAGAGAGACAGGTAACAATCAATTTTAACCAATGGTCATTAAAGATAATCAAGTAAACATCATCTCCGTATCAATCATAATCATCATTGCGATTTGCCAATGACTTTTGCTTGTCTGTTAATTTAAGTTGATTGTTAACAATCAAGGGTAAAAACAAATTATAAATTAAAATTGAAACTATTTAATTGAACATATAATATATTGGAGGACATAATAAACCAAGATCATGATTATAATCAACGTATTAATATAATATCATCTTAATCAACTTTAATTGTTGATTATTTTGATTGGAAGGAAACTTTTTTGTTACCTTCACTTAATTGTTGATGATCAGTCATCTGATTGTTGGTGTTTAAGGTTTTAATCAAAAAGCTTTTTTTTTGACAAAAATTTTCATGTTGGTTAAAAATTCAATCATGATTAACTTGATTGGTTGTCTGTTGATTATTTTGATTGATAATAATAAAGTAGTAATCAAAATTAATCAATGATTTATAAAAGGTATTAATCAAAATGTATCCAATCAATGCCGAAACTGAATAATCAATGGAATCAACAATTTACCAACAATTAGGTCAAATAATATATAACATGAAATGACAAAAGTAGTTGAGTTTACTCAGATTGCTGATTAAATTGCTACAATTAAGAATTAATTATTACATCAGCATACACGCAATCAAATAATGATTAACTTGATGAAACCAATTAAAAAGTCCTAACATTTTAAATTGACAAAAAACAATAACAATTAAATGAATGGTTATCAATATGTTAATTGTTGATCAAAACTTTAACAATTAACTGATTGACTGAGTAAATTAAATTATCAATTGAATCTTTTTTTGCTTCATGTCACAATTTATTTCACATTGAGTAATCAAATGATTAAATTAATGTTGATTAACTTAATCATAATCATGAGTGTAACCATTTAATTATTATTTATTTTGTTTCTTGATTAATTAATTGTACAAGGTAAACATAATTTAGTTATTCAATTATATAATTTTCAAAAGTGACGGTAAATAGTTTTTTGATTAACAATTTACTAATTGTGATTAGATCCTTTAATTGTTAACAATTTGAGACTATTTGATGATAAAAGACAATTTAAATTGTTGATGATTTAATTGAAATGTTAATTTGTTTCAAGACTACAATCAGCACGATTTGATTATTTTAATCAATTAGTTGTTACTTTAAATTGTTGGTCAATAGTTTTCTAGCTGATTAGTTACAATCAAAGTACAATTTAATTTGGTTAATCACTTTGAATTAACTTTTACTAATGTTACCTCATCATAATCATCATTAAAATCATAATCTTAATCATCAATTAATAATCTGATAGTAATCATCTTGAACAATTAACTCTGTTAATCAATTGATTGTCAATTAAAGTTAATAACCAATAAGTTGATTGATCAGTTGATTGTTAATTAACTAATTTATATCTTGACCAACTTAATGAAAAGTAATAGAATCAGTGATTTAACAATTGAAATAATCAATTGGATACCAATTGATTTAATTAACTTGCAACTTTTGTCAACTCAATTAACAGCAGAAAGTTGATTGCGTTGAAATGACTGAATCAACAATGATAATCGAAAACAAGAATAATAAATTGTCATTGATTGTCACCAAATAGACCATAAGTTTCACCAATCAATCAACAATCAATTGACAATCAAATCAAATTGAAAAAAAAATCGAGACTTGAAAAAAACAATAATATGAAAAACGATGAAAAAAAAGTTACATTGAATTCCTATTGGGACATGGAGCAGAAACATGATGATAGTCATTGTAACTCTCCATCTCCCTCACTCAGTTCATTTTATCTTCCTCATCACCATGATGATGATGATGATCATCAATTCCATTGATTTCTAGTTAAATCTCATCATTTTGGGTGAATTTTAATACATAAATTCCAAGTCATTCCAAGCGAAATTTTCTGCAAAACTTTCACTCTTTTTACAGTTTTGCTGATGTTTGCAATTAAATAACAATAATCTAATCATGATGAATTATCATCGCAATTTAATTCACCTTTTTTTGGGTGAAAAATCACAAAAAAATTGGTGCAAAAAAAGCACAAAATCAATTGATAGTTAATCAAAATTGTCTTGAAAACATCAGATTCCGTCTTGGTTGTTGATTGAAGTAACAATGGATTCCTATGACTTGGCAAAATTAATGATAATCAGATTTGATTGTAACCTTTTATTTTTACATAATTGTGATTGTGTGTGCGATTCATTCACAATATTGGGTTACAATCAAAATTGATTGTCAATTTGTAATCTGTACAATTGAAAAAAAAAACAATAATCAAACTTGCTGGTGGTCAGTGAGATTGTTTAATTGTTACTCTGATTGTCGATTGTTGGGTTTTCAATGATCAACGTCATTTAGTTCCCAGGGTTGGTGTTTTGTTTACATATCAAAATGACGTTAATCAAAAGCGGAAGTTATTGCTAACAAAACCTCAGTAACAAGTAATTTTTGGTTAGTTGATTAGGTTTAGATTTGTGTTAATTGTTCAAATGGTTACAATCAAGTAACTTCGGTGGTCTGAGGATGTTTTTGTTTTCAATTCCACCAAAGACTCATGTTGATTAACGAAAGTGCTGAAGTGTCAATGATAAACATAGAGATTGTTAGTCAAGGATAATCAACAGAACCGACGATCTCTTTGCCTCCTCCTATTTCCGCCTTCCAATTTACCACTTCCACCACGAACTTTTTACCTCCCACTCCGTTTCCCTGAGCCATCAGAATGGGAGGTAAATATAAACTAAAATAAACAAGTGTCATCAATCCAAAGATAGTAACTGTTAATTTCGGTCTAATTGTTTACAGAGAAAAGTTGATTTTTTCTCAGAAGAAAAAATCCTCATCATGATCATCGTAATTAATAATCACTCATTTGAGGTTATCTTTGCAATTGCTTTAAAATCAACAATAATTTTCACTG